TTTGATTTCGTTGAAGCACCTGAATAAAAACAACATAGAAAACATCCTATTTATGCACATACTATCTCTCAAGTTTCAACTTATGACGAAAGGTCCCCAAATGATAAATCGCTTTCCAACTAGGACTATATTCAATCGATAGAGCCTAATGAGTAAGTAAATACTTTGAAATGGTTCGAACTGTAGGGCCTTTGTTGTTAAGATTTTGAATTTTAACCTGAAACGTTGTCTATATATAACGGCATGAGTTAAACTAGATTGTGGAAGAAAATCAGAACTTTTTGACTATGTATCTTCAAGATGTGAATCTTTTAAACTATCCATGCTTTTTTATAATAATCATTGCAAAGCGTCTATAGTTTGAAAAATTGATTTCTCGTAGAGACTTAGTGAAAAAGTTCTGAAATTTGTTCTACAAACTAGTCTAATCAATGTCTTTATGTGAACTACGTTTCAGGTCAAAATTCAAAAGTATAATTTTACTTTAAAACTGGGGTCCTATAGAAAAAATTCACTCCTAAAGATTCGATATCTCAGCAATGAAGATCTGGCGGCAGTTCAAATCACTTTAGAGTATTTACCGACTCACTAGAGTCTATCGATTGAATAGTCCAAGTTGAAAACCAATTTATTACTTGAGAATCTTTCCTCATTGATTTATATAAACTTTCAGATTGTGTAAAGACTTTAACAAAATATTAGGAATAGTGTCGATCACAAAAATTATGCTCAAGAGTTATATAAAAGTAGATAGAATTTTAAAAAGTTGCTCTGACTGTATTAATCTGATCTATTACAAAACAACTACCTATACTGATGGTATACAAAAGCACGCCGACTTAATGTAAACAAAGTTGTTTCTGTGACGGGCAAAATGAAACCACGTAAAATAACGAAATATTCTAATTTGATGAAGAACAAAAAAATCGAATTATATTTCTCGCAAACTAAAAGATGACATAAAAAATTCATTAGTGTTGAGAATAGATTATTTGAATGCTTCTATGCACTGCTTGCAATGTCTTCTTCTTGTTGTTGGTCGTATTCTACTCGAATCATCCGCTACTAAGATATCTTATCTCAGTACAACAAAATCTCGTACGAAAAGTATAAGTTAACTCTGAATGAGAATTATGTAAAACAGCAAAAGAAGTACTATTAAGGACTAATGCATTTCTAAGTGAAATGATAAGAGAAAAAAAATGATTTGAGCTCCAGAAAATAAAACATAGTTGTCACGTAGCTACATAGAATGTTTGTCATAGTCGTGAGTCACGACGATTACACTGATAACGTTAGAAGCTAAGCACATGTTTTCAAGTATGTGCCAAATAATAAATGTTATTTCGGCTGGGATCAGTAAGTTAAATGTGTCATTTCTAAGACTGTTAATAGTAACATTAAATCTAATTGAAAGATTAAAAAACTTAGAAAAAAAGATCTCACAAATTCACTGTTAAGTTTAACCTTTGTTTCAATGGTTAAAAATAGAAGATTCGTCATTTTAATACTTTTGATTAACAGAAAAACTTTCCCAAGTCGAGAATCCCTGAGGAGTCCTATACTCGCCCTTGGTCCCTGTCAAGATTATCCAGGGGGACTTCGAGGGAATTTTATAATGAGATTTCACTAGGGGTCGATATTATGATAAAAACGTCCTATACGATCATTTACAGTCGTCGTTAGTCTCACGGTATACTCCTGGGAAATCCCTGGCAAATCCTCAGAAATTCTTTAACAAATCCACAGGGACTCCCATGTAAATCTCTGGGGACTTCTTGGCTCTCTCGTAAAATCCATAGGGAGTCCCTGTCGGGATTCCGTAGGGGTTCGTTTAGGGATTCTCGACTAGGGTTGTCAAGTGAAAAATGGATCTTTTTTTCTTTAATTTATGGAGTCTACGAAAATTGGTCGGCGCGAAAAATAGTCAAGAAATTAATTAAAAAAAAAGAAAGAAGAATTTTTCAACAAAAGCGACAACAGTGTAAAAAATAAATTAATATTAGTATATAGCCTGTCGCTGGTACTTAAATCCTGATCTATCAACCTGGGGACCGTACAGACCCCAGACGAAAACAGTTCATATTGATAGTACACAACGTTGTTCGTCAATATACTATAAATTGAAGTGAAAAAATGTAATCATCATACTCAGGGAACAATCCAGAGAGACTGATAGAATTTGACCATTTTATAGGTTGACAGATCAGGATTAAAATATTTGTCGTAGTACCCTGTACAAGCAAAGTGGATCCCAACCTTTCTTCAGAACAGTTGGTTTTAAGCAGAAGAACAAATAAAAATAAAAAATTGGTGCGAGTGTTGGGATGGGTCCTCTTGAATCCCATCACACACTAGAATTTACACCAGATCTGACACTCACACCTGCGCCCGCATCCGTACCTTCACCTGCGCTCACACCAACACTGACAATCATACTACATTCTCAAAATTATTTTTTTCTTAGTTTTAAAGCTCTATTAGAATTAATTTTGATATAATTTCATGAAAATACATGAATCTAACAATTTTAATTTTAAAAAGTAATTCTAGTTCATCTGTTGCATGTATTTAAAAAAAAAGGCTTCGCTGTAGTGATTGACAGTTTACTAATAGTGTCTTCCTTTTTCTTCTTGTAATGCTTTGACTGATTCGTCTCATTCGAAGCTTTTCTTTTTTTATATTAAGAATCTCTGAACTAGTTTTTGCGTCAACCAATTTTCGTAGCGACTAATTTTTGCTTTCACGATTTATGATCAGTTTAATTGAGTCTTGCAATAAAATACTGTGTTCTCTATCAGATCTCGTTCGAAATCGACTTTTGCTAAAAACTCAAAATTTTAATAATTGTCAAAACAAACCTCGCTTTCTTTTTTGAGTAGTTCTCTTTCGTGAACGTTTAATTGATGGTTTTTTTTTCGGTATTTTCTTTCCAGGTTTATAAACAAAATCATCTGGATCATCTTTAGTATTTAAACCACTTTCTTCATCACTACCAAGATAATCATCATCAGTTTCTGGTTCTTCTTCGTCGTCTTCTTCATTATTAAAAATTTCTTCATGTTTATCATCATCATCACCATTCTATAAAAAAAGAATTTATCATATTTGTTTGTTTGATTTTTTTCTATGATTTACTTCAGTTTCATCTTCTAATTCATTTTCTTCTTCATCCGTATGACTTGATTGTTTTGAATTAGTACTAGATTTTTTTGAACTACGACGCATTGACTTTTTTCTTTCTGGTATTCGTTTTCCTTCATCAATTGGATTCATTAAAAAATGTAATATTCTTTCAGCATGTTCATTATTACGACCAGTTGATGGTAAACCAAGAATATCTGAAACTGATCGTAATTGATCCTTTTTTAGTCTAAATATGAAAGAAAAAAAATATATAAAAGAAAATTTATCTTACATAAAAGCCAATATAAATTTACTTGATTATATTATTTAAATGTCGTTGATATTCATCACCATCACGTTCAAATTCAAATCCTTTAAATTCTCGAAGATTTTGTCTTATATTAGTTTGACTCTAAAAAAAAAAAAACAAAATAAAATGGTTGTATATATATGTTTATTGAATGATTAATTTATCTTACTGCTCGTCGACCAAAACATATATTGCGCATACGAGATAAAGCATCAGTTGATGCATGAGTGATTTGATAATTAACTAAAAGAATTAAACGTAAACAACTTTTTATATGTATATCAATTTCTTTTTCACTTACTATATTCAATTTCACCTAATGGTTTTCCATGACCCTAAATAAAAAAAAAATTGAAAGTATTATTAAAAATATAGCATTTATAGAGATGATAATGAAAAAAAGTCGAGAAAAGTATATGTCGTTTGCAGAAATCTATTAAAGTAGATTTTTTCATTATTTAGAATAAATCAATTTAATATTGTCGTTAGAAAAAAATTATTTGTAGTATAATTATACGTTTTTATTATTTAATTACCTATGCATAGAAAAAGTAAAAAGAAGTCAATTCGAAGAATTGTTCATACTTTATAAACTACTAAAATGGAATTGTATAAAATGAGAATTAATATTTCTCAAGATATATTGACTAGCAATCGTCTGTCGATTGTAGCTGAAAGTTTTTTCAAATTTAAACGAAAGAATATTTATTTTACTCAAAGTATCTTTAATTAATTTTTTTTTAAATATATTTCAGTCATCATTGACTGGATAGAATAGAATTCTAAATAATTATCGGTTTAGAAATCTGGTTACCTGAAGATTTTCTATCTATGATTCATATACAAATGAGAGCATGTTTGTACATTACATATAAAGAAAAAGTTTAACACTTCGATTACGAAAAAAAAAGTATTATTAATTTAATCTGATGTAACTATGGATGAGAATAAGCAAGTATTTAATTAGTATGAAAGTAGTAAATACGATTTTTAAATTTACCTGAGGTATAGATAATTCTTTTTTTGGTGTTGTTAATTCAGATAATTCTAATCGTGATGTTGGTTTTCGTGAACGTTTTCCTTCGAGAATAATTGGCTGTTCAAAAAGTGGTTGAGTATCCACATTATCATTAGTATTTAAATTTTCTTCTTCTTTCGTATCTAATGTTGATGATAATTCACGTTTTTTTCGTCCAGGACGTTTTGGTTTTTCAGCATTTATTTGTTCGTCTTCTACTTTAGGTATTATTGATTGTTCAGCAGAAGTAGTTGATACAGTTGGTTCATCTTTATTTTCAATAGTATCTATTGCTTTAATAGCATCTAATTCGTTTTCACTTGTCATATTTTAATTAAAAACAAAATTAATCTAAAAATAACAAATTTTTTTTTTATTTTTAGAAATCAAATGATTTTTTGACTCCTCCTCCAAAATGCTACTATTTACCAATCGACCAATGAAAACAATGTTTTTGATAGATGGAGTATCAATATGATATGTGGTTTCCTTTTCTTTTTAATAACAAAACAAAAAAAAAACAACTGGAATTACAAACAAAAAAGATTATTTCTTTCTAGTTCTTTTCGATGAATTATTTGTATTCGCAGATGAACGTATAGCATGTTTTGGTTTATTACTATGTCTTTTATTCTTATAATTCGTTCGACCACCTTTACGCATTTGACGTACACGTTGTAGTGATTGTCGTTTACGTTGTTCAGTACGTTTTTTAATGATTTGCTCAGGTTTTTTCAGTTCGGAATGGCTTGGCATTGGTTGTCCTTTAGCCTTTAACTGAGACTTTTGTCGATTCATTAATTGTTGTACACGTTGTTGAAATTGTCCTAAAAAAATAGATAAGAAAAAATAAAAAATCCATAAGAAATGAAAATAACATACGTGGTTTAGCTTGTGCACTAGAGGTTTCATCATCATGTATATGACCTTCAGATTTATTTCGACGACTATCGGGTAATTCTTTGTCGAATACTTTTGATTTATTAAGCCATTTTTTGTAACTAAAAATAAATAAAAGAATAGCATGAAAGAAAGTATAAGTGGTCACGAATTCAAATCTACACGGCTTTTTCGAAACGCGAGAAAGATCTATTTTTATATTTCGCTGAAGAATAGAGATGTAAGCCGATACATTAATCGATGGCTGAAAGATTTCAATGTTTTTATTAAAAACTTGTCTTAGCCGTGCGAAATTTTGAAATAAAAAGAAAGAAGAAAATAATAGTAGAGAACGTGATGATGAGAAACAAGATAAGAACATCGTTGAAAATTGATCTTAGGTGTCGAAAATTCTCAAATATCTACTATATATTTTTATGCCCTGGCGGCTTAGCAGATCAGCTTACACATCTACTTACGAACGGTTTCAAAAGTATCTTATGTTAATATTTTTTTCGTTCAAAATCAATGAAGGATATTCACATGAATAATCTTACAACGGAAGTTCCATAAGTGATAAACAGCTGTTGAATCGAAACTATGAACACTCCGCGAAGAGTTTTGACCTTTAACTTATTGCTGTCGACATACTATATGTTTTAACTGAAAGCCGTGGTATCTTTAAGATATACTAGGAAAAACTGGTTTGAGAATTTGACTTGAAACTTGGCATAAAGATAGAACTTAATTAGATTGGTTTATGGTGACAGTTTCAAGTTGCTTCTATTCGGAAATGAGAATGGCGAATGAGCTAGAATATATAAGCGTTGTAAAAGACACAACTTTATCATTGTTATATCTTAGAATAAAAACAAGAAAAATATCTAACACTTTCATAATAAATTATTCTTGTTAAGATCTGTCTCTATGAAAAATTTCAAGTCGAAATTTTGTTTTCCTAAGAGGGATCCATATGAACTGTTGATCAATTCTTTTGAACTGGAATTGTTACAGTCCTATTTATAGCTCCTTAGGGTCTACATAATACTGACTCAGAAGTGATTGATCAGTTGGAAAATTTGCCTCATTAGTACGTTACTAAATATAAAAATAATACGATCGATTTTGTATTGAGAAAAATTAAGAAAGAAGAAACTTGATCTTAAGAATTGTTTTTGGGTAATAGAAAGCTAAGAGAGAAGTTTACCAGACATACCTATTACTTTAAGTCTAGTTAATATGTTCTCACGTTCTTTTTTCTAACGCTACTTCAACGAACAAATAGAAGTTTTTAGTATTTCTTACAATAAAAATCCTATCATTAGTGATAATGATTTTGATCGATTCATCGATATTATGTTTAGAATCATAGTCAATGACATATCCTTAGAAGAGGTTTAATATTTTTCTCATTCTGATGAAATTTTTGACTGTCAACATTATCTATTTTCTTCAAAATTCATTTGATGATCATGTAATTAAAGAAAAAAATTCAACATACACATTAGTTTTATAAGATGCTTGAATCCATTGACCACTTTCTGTTTTAACTTTTTTTGTTTTCGCATCATTTTGACCAACAGTAACAAATTTTTTCTTTTTTCGATCCCTAAAAAAGACATAAATATGTATTCATCTATTGAAATAAACATTCTTTTTTATTTATTAACCATTTAGTTTTTTGTATAGTTGGACCTCGTGTTTGAGTACCGTCATCATTTGTTAAATCCATAACAGCTTCATTACTTTGACGCTCAAATGATTGAATTTCCAAACTACAAATTTATTTTAAAAACAGTTAAAATTTCTTCGTTTTTTCTTACCCTTTTTCTCGTTTAAAATCAGCTGGTTGATAGGGAATAAAAAATTCTTTATCAACTTCTCGTCGATTTTTTTTCTTCTTCTTATATGGTGATTCCATATTATTATCACCTAATTCATTTGGATCTTGAATGGTTATTGTCAAATTATCAACCTAAAAGAAAAATTTAACTTTTATTTGTTTTTTGGTTATTATATTTAATATTTCAAACCTCAAGTGTTTTTGTTTGATCATCATTATTGTTATCTGGTAATGATAGATCTTTGTTATCATGTTTAAGAATAAGTTTTTCATCATGAGCTCGTTTTCGTTTCATAATTGCACATGCTGTATTGCCTGAAGATGGATTTACTTCGAAGATTGTCTATAATAAAACAATTTTTCAGTATTATTTAAATATTATTCGAATCAAAATTAAACTATAAAATCTTTTTCTTTGAAGTTATTTTTAGTTTATTTGATAGATCTGACAAAAAGATAAAAATCAAGTTCATATAGTATATATTATTAATTTAGAAGTTCAATGTTTCAGTCATTGATTCTTCGATATAAATCAAATGAACGAAAAAAAATTTACTTGATTTATTTATCTCTAGTTTAAGAAAAGGACGTTGAAAATCAAATAAATTCTCAAACTAGTGAAGAAAGGAAGTCAATGAGTATTTGATAAGGATGACATTTTGAGAGAAAGTATTTATCACTTCTAAAAGGTCAACATGGCATAAAAACGTAAGACGCTATTAAAATATATATTAATGCATCAATCCAACTAATTGAAAATGTCATATTTGAGTTCCGTCAGCCATGTGATATTTTTCATTCTATAGGCTAACGTAATGACATAAGCAGACAGGCGCTCAACTCATCCCTACGAATGTCAAAGTTTCGCTTAAAGCTCCTCCTCACAGTGTGCATCCGTCCAAGCGGATATTAAGTGAAAAAAAGACGAAAATCACTCGTTGATTGATTCATACAGTGATAAATATACTTTGAAACATGCTCTAAACAACTAGAATGCAAAAATAGGCCTAAAAAACACACTTATCAATGAGAAAAAAGTTTAAACTGCCTAGCATGCATGCTCTGTAGATATTCGGAATCTGCATATTGTCCTATATCGATTATTCTCTCTTGTGAACTTATTTATAGCTCATTTGGATCTACATAATGCACATAGTCTAGACTTCGAAGTGATTAAACAGTTGGAAGGCTTCGCTAGTATGCTTAGTAAAACAAAACAAACACACGATAATCGAAATCTGCTCAAGCTGTGCCAGAATGTTATATATTGTGCCCTCCTCTATAGTAATAGTTAATCCAAGCGCACATAAATTATACCGCAGATTTTCCTGTTAAACTTCTTTTTCTTTCAGACTTCAAAGCGTTTCTATTGAAAATCAATAGAATGTTCGGAATTGGCACGCGAAACTAAATTGAATGATATCCATCAAGTCTTTATTTTTCTTAAAAATGACTTTCCGAATGATATGCAATCACTTCGGCGGAAAAGAAAACCTTTTCCGAGCAATGAAAATTACATGTTTGTTTGCCATGCGACGGAACGCAAAACTGCATTCCTACATTTTGTTTTTCTAATTATACCACTACGCTTTTGTTATAATAATTTTCTTCAATCATGATAAAAACAATAAGATTTGCCTTAATTAAAAATTAAAATACCGATTATTCATTAGATATTATTGAGAGCAAACATGATATCGCTATTTATTTTTACAATTGACTAGATTTTATTAAACTTACATTCTTCGCACGAAATGATTTTAATTGTTGTATAAGTGCATTTGGTGTTAAATCTTCAGCTGTATAAAGTTGTTTAAAAACTGGATGTATAGCCATATTACTTATTTGATTATGATATTGTTTCATTTGTTTAATTGATGCATATGTTGATGGTGGTCGTGATCTTAAATAATGTAGATATGCATTTTGGTGTACTTGAAATAGATTAATTAAATCAATATTTGTTTCAGTTAATTTTCTTATTGTTTCAGATTCTTCATCAATTATTGCTTGTGGTACATTACCAAATATTAAATGATAATCATTATCATTTTCATCATTTGTTGCATATGTTATTGTTTTACCAATAAATTCTTGTACATCAAATAAATATGATAGTTCATCTGTTGATATAAATGAATAAGCTGTACCCATTCGTCCAGCACGTGCAACACGACCAACACGATGAAGAAATAATTTTGGTGTTGCAGGAAAATGATAATTAATAACATTATCAAGTGACGGTATATCTAATCCTCGTGCAGCTATATCTGTTACAATTAATACACGTGCTTTGCCCGTTTGATATTTCGAAAGATTTATTTTTCTTGTTGAATGATCAAGTGTTGAATAAATTGTAACAGATGAAAATAAATTTTGTTGTTGCTGTTGTTCAAGTAATTCTTTTAAATATTCACAATGATGACGTGTTGCAACAAATACAACAATTTGTTGATCAATTGGTATTATTGAACGAAGTGCATATAATAGTAATGCTGTTTTATCATCATGACGTAAATGAAAAAATAATAACTTTAAATTTTCATTTAATTTCATTTCAACATCAAGACGAATTAATTCCGGTTCATAAAGACCTGCTTTAGCAAATTCGGCAAGAATTTTTGATAATGTAGCTGAAAATAACAATGTTTGGCGTTGAGACGGTAAACGCTTTACTATATCATTGATTTGTTCTTGAAAACCCATTTCAAATAAACTACATAAATAAATATTAGTAAAACGAAACAAAAAAAAAGTTTAATGTGCATTAAAAATCTTTCATATCTTAGATATGAAATGAATATCCATGCTGTTTATAGAACTTTTCTTAGTCATAGTCTAACCAACATTCGATCTTGAATTTTCATGCTTAAAATGTAATTTAATGAAGAACAGCGAATTGCTATTCAACTATGTTGACAAATTTTTTTTTTTTCTTAATTTTTAATTTTTATTTTACTGCTTTGGAACAAGGAACCCTCTGTAAAAAATTTTTGTTATAATGTGAAACTTTCATATGATTCAACGAATTGGTTCGACCATCTCTTTTTTTCTATGACAGTTGAATAGACTCTATTCCATTGTTTAGAGTTTTAATGCAGACGCTTTGGTGAAAGTTCTTACGAGAGATTCAGATACATTGAGTTTAATCATCGGTAGACCTTTTATCAGTCTATTGAAAGTTATATGGATGCGATAAATCTTAAATTTTATCATTCTTTATTTGCTTTGTACGTTAACGATTGGAGTAATCTTATCTATGATCTTACACTGTTGTTCAATGTGCTCGCTCTCTTCTACTAACTCTATATAATGTTTTGTTTCTTTTTTTTTTGTATCTCTTCACTAGACAACCATGAGACTCAGTATAATTAAACATACCGATCTGCTTCATCGAAAACAACATATTTAACATCATTTAATTTAAGATCCATTTCAATACATAAATGCATAAAACGACCAGGTGTTGCAATAATTCTTAATAATGAAAAAACAAAAAACAGAATATTAATTTTTTGAAACTATGCATAAAATAATCAACATACATGTCCGGATGAGCATGTAAATTACTAAATTGTTCTTCAAGTCTAAACAATAAATATATATGAAGCAAAAAGAATATTTTCATTTAATCATTTCTTACTTTTCACCACCAAGAATAGCTGTTGCTATGAGATCAGTTAAATTTCCAATCTAAAAATAAAATAACTTGCCTATAGTATTAATATACTTATTTAATTCTTTCAGGACAAGAAAGACATATTCACGTTTTTCATTCTGGAACAGTTCAGATCTATTGATGCGTACTACTAATAATTGATATAACTGGCAATGCTACAACAATATGTCGTATGACATATTAGTCTCAAAAGTGTGTGGGCGAGTATATACAAAAGATTCTCATTCACATCAACACCCTCGACGAAGTTCGATCGTCTAACTAGCGTTACTCTATAATTTGATACGAGCGACAGACATATGCACTGTGCCAGTCTTTGAAAGATCAATAGTGCTGATTAGATATGAAAATGAATTCACTTTAACTAATCCCACGTGGTATTATTATACTTCGCAAAAAGAGAATTTCGTTCAAAGAAGTCTTTTTTTGTAATTACTTGGTTTGTAAATTTAAGTGTTTGTAAAGCTAATTCACGAGTGGGTGATAGAATAAGCGCACGTGGACCGGAATTTGGATCATGCCCTTTTAGTTTTTCAAACATTGGTATAAGAAAAGCAGCCGTTTTTCCACTACCAGTACGTGCCATTGCCACAACATCTTTATTTTTTAAGATTACCGGAATTGCCTATGAATTAATAAAAGAAATAAAATATAAAAAGAAAAAATTCTATAAACTAATTATGTTTCATACTTTACGTTGAATTGGTGTTGGAACTTTATAACCACGTTTCATAATCGCTTTGAATACAGGTGATGATAATCCTGAAATAAACAACAAAGTAATCAATTATCGTTTTTTATCATTAAAATGATTGTTTATATTTAGGAGAGATAGGAAGGTAGGGTAATTTAGTAGAAAGAATGTTCAAGCTGTTTTTTTTTACATATACATAACAGAGTATATGACAGTAATCAGTTGAGTACTTTAAGTTTTCCGTAGAACATTTCTTTATAAAAGTTTAAACTTTTGAGAAAAGAAAAGCATTTTCATCATGTTTATTTGATTTATAGGCGTAAATTTTACAAATAGAAATTTAACAATTCAAGAAAATGAATTATCATAGAGATTTGTACCTTTTTCTTATCGAACTATCCGAAAAAATTCACGTTTCTAAAAGACTGTTTAGAATTACATTTGTATACATACATTTACTCGTTTAACGATATTCTAGTAGGAAATCAAAACTTGCTAGTTCAAAGGTCATGCTTGATTTTATGAAAAGTTGCTACTCAACTTCAAATTTTTAGTTTTGTAAGAGTTTATTAATAATATGAATACTTCTAATCACAAATACTGATTAAATCTTTTTTAATTTTAACGAAAACTTAATCTTCTAATTTTTTTTTCTTTTGACCTTTAAATATCAAGATAAGCATCTTGTTTTGTTGTTTTTGATAAAATTGATTCTAATGGCATTAATCTGTACAATGATAATTATTTAAAGCTTCTGTGTTCTATACAATTCATTGATTAGAAAAAAATAAATCAATTAACATACCAAATGATTGAAATCCGTTTGATTTATTCTTTTTTTTGGATTTTGGTTTTTTCTTTTCTTCCATTGGTCCATCAAATTCAAAATCTATTTTAAACAATAAAATTCTAATACTTTCAAATAAAAACTATTTACCTTGATTAAAATCTTCTTCATTCATTTTACTGATCTAAAATCACAAAAAAATACATTTTAATAAAAATCGAATGTGATATATTCATCAATTTAGCAGAAAATAATCATAATAAAGCAATGGAAATTACAGAGAAAGAAAAAAAAGCGGAAAATATATCTGTTCATGGAAACAAAAAACAAAATATATATATATTTATATAAGATGATATTATTTAATCTTGATCTTTTCGTCCATATTTAAGAATTTTAACAAATTCTTGATAATCAAAAAGACCATTTTTAATTGGAGCATCTTTAAATAATTCATCAACTTCTTCGTCAGTATAACGATCACCCATAGACATTAATAAATCACGTAAACGTTCTTCACTTATTGTTCCTGTACGTTCTTCATCTAATGCTAAAAACGCATTACGTACAACATCTTCCGGATCTGAACCTGTTAATTTTTCACCAAATAATGTTAAAAACACTAAAAACAAAAAAAAACAATAAAAACTTTACTTCCTAACCGACAGAAATTTATCTTACTAGTAAAATTAATATCTCCAGGTGCTTCACGGATCATTGCTTCAATTTCCGCATCGGGTACAACTTTTCCTAATGAAGCAAACATATCTCGTAAATCATCACTACTTATAAAACCATCCTAGAAAGTAAAAGTCATAAGAAAATAAAAATATTCATTAAAGAACAAACTCGATCATGATCAATAATATTAAAAGCTTCTTTAAATTCTTGTATTTGCGATTGATCGAACATCGCAAATATATTTGAAGTTGCACGTTGTTGCCGTTTTTTAGCTGGTTGTTTAGTTTTAGCACGAGCTGCCATTTTAAGTTCTTTTTTAGATAATTCGTATAATGATTGAAAGAAGTTTTTGATTTATTTACTTTTTTTTTGTCTTTTTCATACACCTACACATTTACAGATGTCGCTCGAAGAAAAATAAAACAAATTAATCTCTTTTTGTATTTCTTAAATAAAAAAAAATCTTCACAAGAAAATTTTAAATCTATTTTTTATTATAAAAAAAAACAATATAGTTTTTATTGAAAAGTTATCTATTGGTTAAAAATAAAACGAGCAACAACAAGATGTCAGATTGATTGATTGACCGATATAAGAAAGAAAAAAAAGATTCTTTTATGAATTATTGACTTGTTCAATAAACTTCAAGAGGTAATAAATTATATTCAAATTATTTATCCTATTTGTTTTTGTTTTCTTATTTTTTTTCTTCTATTTCGAAATTCAAGACGTGGCGTCTCTGTTTAGTAATTGTTTCAAAGTATTTTCTTCATTAAACATAATGCCATCGTCATCATCTTATTCAACTACATCATCCTCAAATGATCAATGTGAACATTGTCATTCTACATATACGTTAACTAAACGAAAAGTAAAAACAAACAAATTTTTATTATTGTAATAAAAAATAAAATCTTTTTTTTTCTTATTTTAGAAAAGTTGCGCAGTTTGTCGTCAATATTATTGTACTAATTGTGCACCCCGTGAACGTCATTATAATCAACCATATCGTATATGTCTTACATGTCAATTAATATCAAGTGATTCAACAACAGATGAACAATTATTAGCATTAAAAGTTAAACATTTACGGTGCTATTTACAAGCAAAAAATATTTCACATCATACATGTACAGAAAAACAAGAACTTGTTGATTTAATTGTACGAAATAGACATTTACCATTTACACGTTTATTTATTCAACAACAACAACAACAAGCACAAACTTCATCATCATCAACAACAACAAATGCTAATCAACAACAATTTCATACAACATTTAATCAATTTTCAACATCAACAAGTGCTTCATCTTCTTCATCATCATCATCTACAACAACAACTGTTATGCCACCTCCACCTCCACCACCTCCTCCTCCACCTAAAAATGGAAATTTTACAAATTTTCAACATTCAATGTCATCATTTGCTAGTCAAATGAATCATTTTGCTGCAAATTTACAAGATTATGTTACAAATACAGTATCTGGTGTTTTACATCATGCACTTGGTGACCATCAACAAACAACAACAACGACGACAACAACAACAAATAATGGAAATGGTACGTCAACATTTAATTTTGGTACAACAAGTAATGGACCATTTACATATACATTTTCATCACCTGGAAACTTTGTCTATACAACAACAACAAATAGTACATCAGCTAGTCCACAACAACGAAGAACAACAACAACAACTAATGAAGCAACAGCTAGTTCGAATGTGGTAGGAAAAAAACCTCTTGTTTTCAAAATTCACTAAATTAGTAAATATTAAATGAATGATGACTCATTCTTACTAATACATTGTTTTTTGCCAGATTTTGTAACAAAAAGTTAGATAAATATCTTTGCTATGCTATTGTTACAGAAAAATAGTGTGACTTGAATATTTTAATCAAATATTTAAACTATGTACTAGTATATATTTAAGTCAAAAGTTATGAGCACATTCTTGTAACGTATAATTTACAGAACACACCGACCTCTTGAAAAGAACGCAAGTTATAATAAATTAGCGGAAAATTGATAATTGTATAATAGAAATAACTTTAGATTTTCTTGACTATTGGAACAATTATGTCAATCATTGATCAACTTGTATTTTTGGACTACTATTGCAGACGAAAGAATAATAGAGTTTTGCATCCGACTTCGATATAGAATTAATGTCATAGTTAGATTAGTAAGACAATCAAGTATTTTTACTCTAACATCGTAAAATGTTTATTCTTTACATGTTACTCAATGAATAAAACGATCCTAATTTATAGAATCATAAATTTTAAGCAAGAAAAAAACATCATAAGGACATCCTCAATAAGTAGCACTAAAAAAAGTACATTTATATAATCAAAAAATTTGACTTCGTGATATTTTTTCTACAACTCTGGGCAGACGTCTGCCTTAAGTCAGACTTATGGCGCTCGATGACTTGAACTCCCTATGCATACCTACTAACCACAAGCACTGTTATATGTCACAACGTAGGAAGCATGCTGTTAGGTATGTCGTTCAAGGCACTCAATCGTTCATGACCACTCTTGGCGTATCAATTCGATGTAATTCTACTTTTGAGAAACCAAATTAATTTATTATTAAATTTTTCTAGTTCGTTCTATTATTTCTTAAAGAAAAATGTATTGTTTTTCATAAAGGCAAATTGTTCTAAAATCTAATCTTGATTTTTTACATGTTTTATATGAAATTGATTAATATAATTTTTGTTTAGCAACAACAAACAACTACAACTCAACAACGGCCACGTCGAAAATCTCTTAGTGAATTAAATAATGAGCAAAATATTGAAGATTTAAGTGTTCGTGAATTAAAAGAAATCTTAATAGCAAATTTTGTTGATTATAAAGGATGTGTTGAAAAAACTGAATTAATTGAAAAAGTTCGAAGACTTTATCGTGATCGACAAAATGAAAAAATCAAAAGTAAATTTTAATATTTCAAAAAAAAAAAAAAAAAAACAAATATATATTTTTTCTTTTTTTAGCAAAAGAACTTGATAATGCAACAGCAAGCGATAGTGAATTATGTAAAGTATGCATGGATGCAATTGCTGATTGTGTATTTTTAGATTGTGGTCATATGGTAAGTTGCAATTTTATTTTTACTTAATCTTTTCTGCATTATCAACAATTGAACATTGTTGATCGAATAAAACAATAATTAAAAATCATTTTGATTAAATTATAAAATAAGATAATATTAAATAAGCTTAGTCGGATTGATGATTATATTAGACGTTCGCAAATGCTCAGTAAAAAAATAGATTTCTAGATATCTCAGAAAAGAAAAAAAAAGAAAAGATTTTATAATTATCATAATAAATGTACATTCGAACTAAATCCGCTTGAATAGTAAGAAAGAAGCAAAAAAACCTAGAATGAGGTTGTTAATCTATTCTTAGATGGCGTTATGACTATTTCTAAGAATTTTTAAGCTTCTTTCTTTGTCTTCTTCCTCTAGCTATTGATCTTTTTATCCGTTGTTTTTTATTTAAAAAGAAAAAAAAAACGTTAGTCTTTCTATAGTAATAATCCAGATTTATTTTCTTCTCTAATTATCTGTCTAGAAAAATTGATTCATGTTCATTTTGTTTTTCTTTATGTTTATAGGTAACATGTGTCAAATGTGGTAAATTACTCGCCGAATGTCCAATTTGTCGATCGAATATTGTTCGTGTTGTACGTGTTTTCAAGTCATAAAAGAAAAGCAAAAACAAGAAAACATCTTCATATTTTTATGTATTTGTACAGCCTCTTTAACGAAAAGCAAAATCATTAGATTTATTACATAATTATGAACTAGATCATTCCAGTTGGATTTTCATTTTATATATTGCTTCTTTTTTTTTTTGTCTTTACGTGTGTGTGTGTATTGATAATCCTCAATTGTTTTTTGTCTCGTTGTATAATTCAAGAAAAAAAAAAATATCCACAGACTATCTCCTGTGAAATTTCTCAAAACATTATCAAAGTTTGACTGACTGCGTTGACATCTTATATTAATAATCGGATTAAATACATCGTCAGTCTCGTTTCTTCTTTTTTCTCTCTATTCTGCCTAGAAAAAGAAATGTGCGATAATAACAAGAGCGGTGCAAGCCGATGATGTCTTTCTTTTTTTCTTTTTCCATACTATTATCATCAACAGTAGCATATCCTGTTGTTCCCATGTCATAGTACAAAGAAAATCTTTTCTAAAATAAAGATGGTCACGCCAACATCGGTAGGATATTAACAAGAACAATATACTATTGTGACATAATTAATTTGCTTATTTGTTTTTCTCTTTTTCTTTTTGTTTATTATTTATCAGTTCGATAATAATGTATCATGGATACAACGAACATTTAAAAAACGTGAATGTATTAAATTTATTCCATCAAAAACTGAACAACAAATAGGACGTTGTTGTTGTGGACGATATTTTACTGAACATACTGAACATGTAAAAATTTCATCACACGATATGAATTTTTTGTCAGTAAATAAAGATGAAATATGGTCTATACAAAAACATACACGAACTGAACCGACAGATGCATTTGGCATTATTGAATTTGAAGGCATGGCGCATCCAGCTAAAGCTCAAGTGAAATAAATTTCTTGTTTTTAAAATGTTTATTTTTTCTTCTTTTTTTTAGTATATTCGTATTTCACATGATACACGTCCTGATTTAGTATTAAAATTATTTTTACGTGTATGGAATCTTAAATTACCACGTCTTGTTATATCAATTGATGGTGGTATTGCAAATTTTGAATTACAACCAAAACTTAAACGTGTTTTAAAAAAAGGACTTTTTCGTGCAGCTAAAACAACTGGTGCATGGATTATAACAAATGGTTGTCAACAAGGTAAAGTGAAGAACAAAGAAAACAAAAACTTTATTAACTTTTTATGAAAATTTTATAGGTGTTGTTAAACATGTTGGTGATGCGCTTTTTGTTAAATCACCCAAAGCTAAATCGGATATTGTTTGTATTGGATTTTCACCATGGGGTGTTATTGAAGGACGAGAAAATTTAATTGGTGTTAATGTAAAAAGAAAAAGAAGATCAAAAGCATATTAAATTACAAGAAAAAAAAAAACTATTTTTTTTTTTCTTTTTTAGAAAGTTGTTTCGTATCATTCAAAAGCATTAGCAACTAAAAATAATGCGACATTAAATAGTAATCATTATTATTTTTTACTTGTTGATAATGGAACAAGTGGAAAATATGGAGGTGAAATTTTATTAAGAAAACGCTTTGAAAGATTTCTATTAAAACAAACAAATGCACAATCAAGTATATTTTCAAAAAACAAAAAAAAAAAAAGGCTAATAAACAATGAAGATTTCTTTTGTTTTTTAATTTAAGCTGAAAATTCAAATATTCCTGTTGTATGTGTTGTTGTTGAAGGCGGAACAAATACAATTCGAATGGTTTTAGAACATGTTACAGATAATCCACCAGTACCCGTTGTTGTTTGTGACGGAAGCGGTCGTGCGGCGGATCTGATTTCATTTACACATCGATACGCTAGAGAAGATGGGTATGTCAATTTATTATTTATTGATGAGAATGAAATATATAGAAATGATTTTAAATTAGATCAATACGACTAAGAAAATTAGATTATATCTTAAAAGAGATTAATCAATAATTTTCCTTTTCCATGAGTATGTCGGATCCAATATTTTTGCGCTCTATTTGTTTAAGTCAAGATTTTCTTTTTTTTTTTTGTTTTTTGTTTTTTCTTTTACTTGCCAAGGACAAAAATATTTTCTTTCGAATAGACTATATAAAGAGAAAATGAACAATCAATTGATTGAGAAGTATCATATGTTTGACATTTAAATCGTTGTGATAGAATAAATAAATTGGTCATGAAATAAATATCAATCAATAAAATGATTGATTGAAATCATTTATGACTTCCTAGTTGTATTACTCAAATATTAATTACCATATCAATAAAGATTAAGCCTTCTCATTTTTATATACACATGTGAAAACTAAGACGAATATCATTAAAAAGAAGCTGCTAGCACAATCCTTATGGGGATTCAAATTGTGAAATATAATCAAGCTACTGCTATTGTAACAGAGAGGATTAATCGATGTATGTCTCGGTTTATGAATTCTTATCTACTGTTAATACAAGATATTAATCATAATATATTATAGTGAACGTGGAAGAACTGACATATACTGTGATGGTTATTTCGTGATGTTTGACACGATCTGTGATGGTCTCTTAATGATGCCTGCCACATTTGTGAGAACCCGTTCTTAACGTATCTGTCATGATTGTGGGAGAAAATCTCAACTACTATACTTTTATTTTGACACTTCTCTTAAATCATCTGTCACAATATACTTATGATCTGTTGTACATTAAAACTATTTTCAATAGTCAAATGCCATATTACATTTTATGAAACATGGTTAAATCCTTTGAATACTAGTGTACATTATAATGTATAGTTTTTTCAAGTTTCTTAAAATCTTGGATAGCTCGTGAATGCAAAATAATATCAAAGTAAAGTTTTCTTTATGGCATATAAAAATTATCATTCGAATGAGGTTACTCAGGTAGTAAGCTTGGTGAATTTTTGGGACATCATCTCTATTCTAAAAAAAAAAAGGAGAACAGATAATACGCTTTTTCGGTTCCCAAACTATTTCGATTTTCCGTGTTGGAATCAAGTTAAGAGTGGCTTCTAGTGATATTCTAGAAATTGATTTTGCGATAGTTCTTAATCGAATTTCGTCTTACACATTCACGCAAGTGACCAAAATACTTCTTCGCCATTCCCATCGGGAGTACCGGCATGAACCAAAAATAGCTTTAAAAATTTTTCTTTTTTAAAGTATTTGATGAAATCTGCAAAGGATTAAAATGAGTGTTGAAAGTATACAGATAAAAATTTGAACTTTCTCTCGCTTGCTCCTCACAGATCATAATACAGACGCCTTAATAACACTTTCACTAGCTACTACGTCACAGTCGGTGACAGACATGTCTGATATACGAGATCATAGAAGTGTATATCAACAACGTCTTACTATAATCTATGAAATACGTCCTTATTGCATTTCTGACGAATTAACTCAAAGGATGGTGAAGCAATGTGTCTCAAAATAGATGGAGTAAAACAATTTCAGTATAATTATCATCAGCAGATAGAATGTAATTGACATTTTAATTCCATAAAGATTGTTTTAACAACGTTTCAGTATTTTTTTATTGATTTAAAAACAAAATTAAACAATCTATTCTAGTACAATGTCTCCTGAAATTCAAGCACAATTGATACATACTGCAATGAAGACATTTTCGTATACCAAAAAACAAGCAAAGAATCTTTTTAATGAATTAATGATGTGTGTAAAAAGACGAGATTTGGTAAATTGTTTTTGTAGAATATGTTTAAAAATAAAACTTTGTCTTTGTTTTATTTTAAAGATTACAATATTTCGTATGGGTGAAGAATCATCACAAGATATTGATTTATCAATATTAATTGCTTTACTTCGTACTTCATGTGTATCATCGATAGATCAATTAAAACTTGCTTTAACATGGAATCGAGTTGATATAGCTCGAAATTATATTCTATCTGGTTCTCATCAATGGCCAGTAAGAGACAAAACAATTTGTTTATTTATTTATTTAAAATAAATTTCTTAGGAACAAGCATTAGAAGATATCATGATGACTGCATTAACTACAGATAAAGTTGAATTTTGTCGATTGCTACTTGAAAATGGAATATATATGCAGAAATTTTTAACTATTCATCGATTGGAAGAATTATATAATACTGTAAGATTAGAATTTTTGTAAATCATAATTAAATTTCAAATATATTTATTTCGCTAAAATTGTATTTTGAAACAGCAAAAGAAACTTACTAATACAGATATTATTTTGAAAGATTACATATTTTAATGAATTCGACATGCCGGAAGTTCTATTCAATTTCCTCTTCAAGTTCCGTTCATATCTAAGTGTTTCTTCGAGACGAAAAGAAAAAAAACGGACCTGACATTCTCTTATTTTTTATATAAAATAAAATGAACATCGACAAACATATCCGGATATATATATATATATATTTCTCGTCATTCAATAGTTATTGCAATGATGTTGAGAAAAAAAAAAACGAGAGGATAAAATAACTAATAATAGCTTTTTATTCATTATGAAAAATTATGTCTGTTTGTTTATTTCCTTTTTTTTTTAATTGGCAGTGTTTATCAAAGAGATGTCATCATAATATATATCAGTTCATAGAGTTAAAATCGTATTTATGACTGATATAACATATCAATGTCAGTTGAGATGACTTGAATATTATAGTTTTATCAAATTTTATCTTAATACACATTGAATAATGGATATCTTCAACTCTATTTAACTAGTTTACTTTATTTAGAACAAAAGATAAAAAAATAGAAAATAATCAATAATCAAACATCGTTGTATTATCAAAATATGATCATTTCTGAATAGAATTTAACTTTTTTATTAAAACTTCAGATAAAATACATGTTTTAAACGATTACTAAATATGAATGAAACTCAATTTCCAAATATCTAGACGTTCTAATAACACTCATAGAAAGAGAAGAATCATAGCAATATTTTACATTTCTGATTTCATAATAAATGTTTATCTTGATCAATAAATATTTATTGCAAACAAAAACTAAAATTAACTAATTCACTTCTTCAATATTTTTCTTTTAGCGTGATGGTCCACCCAACACTCTTCATTATATTGCAAAAGATATTCGAAAAATTCGCAAGGTTTATTTTCTATGCAATCATTTAAGTCTTATTTGTTTTTTATCTTAATTTTTAGGCAGCTATTACAGGTATATATACATTACCTGATATAGGTTTAATTCTTGAAAAATTAATGGGTCATGGTTATCGATCAAATTATACTCGACGACGTTTTCGTACACGTTATGCAACAATGCTTCATCAACCTAATACATTACGACAGGTATAAATTGAAATTAAATTAGAAATTGTTTTTTTCCTTCATTATTTTGTTTGTTTTCTTTTTTTTGTTTATTAAGTTACGTCGAACAGCAGTTAGTACAACATTAAAACCAATTGATGATACATTTCAATATCCATATAATGAATTACTTATATGGGCAGTACTTACGAAACGACATCAAATGGCTTTATTTTTTTGGGAACGAGGTTTGAATGAGATTATATAACGATTTTTGTTTTTCGTTTAATAATTACATTTTGTTTATATTTAGGTGAAGAAGCTATGGCGAAAGGTAAAGATTTATTATTATTTTTAGATTTGTTATGAATATATTTTCATTTTAAGCATTAGTGGCATATAAATTAAATAAAGCATTAGCACATGAAGCGGATGATGATGAATTAGAAATTGAAGTAGCAGCTGAATTGGCTAGTTATGCAGAGTAAGTTATTGCTATACATATATACCTTATTAAATCTCGATAACATTAAAATATACGATGAATGTAAGAAGTATATATGAGGTCGATTCTCTCATGAAAACTCTTGTTAGATGATTAGTAAAAAAAGATTAGTGATTATCTCAACAGTTTGCGTATTATATTGAGCTCGTGAAATCGAAATTGGCAATGTCATATAACACTAGAGGTTATCCTTTTTTTTTTTTCATTTCAATATGTGATTTATTTTTGTAATGAATCTTTGAATAAATCTTAAACATATTGAACATTTATTCGATTGAAGCCTCTTGAGTTTTTTGTCTAACATAAAATTAACAAAATCGAAAAAGAAATTGAAAAATTGTATAGTCAAACAAATAGTATTTAATTTATTGACAAGACTTTTGAGATATTTGATTTTTGAAAATAAATCAACCTGTCGACAGATAACATACTTACTCATTTTTGACATTCGGATTGTTGTAACTAAGCAACATAATATGATACAGATCTGAAAATAAATTGTAACAACAAAAAGGTATATGAAAGTTCTAGTTTCATTAAAATTTTCCATTTCATTTGGTTAAAGTATGCCGACTTTACTGGAATAGAAAGTCGTGTTAACACATTCATCCAAAGGAATTTCTTTCATTAGAGCTATTTATAAAAGTTAATACTCCTTGATATTATTTTTTCCTGCTTGGAATAGAATATTTGCATTTTTATTTATAGCCAAGCTAAGAAATCTCACGTTAGAGAAATTTGTTTTTTGGAAGTAAGGATGTGCAATATTGGTGTAAATGCTGACCAGTGAGTCACCAACATAGGGTTCAGTGGAATTCTGATGATACTGGTGTAGGTATTCACTGTATGATTGAAATATCAACTCTATCAAAATATGCCCTATTTATCGCGCTGTGTTACAGTAAGCACTGATTCTTAATAATCAGCATCCCCAATCATTTTTTGATTTCAGCTAGAATAAAATTTTGTTTCTGGTTCGCACGTATAATGCATGTCCTAACGAAAAATGTGATGTGATTTTCTAGCATGCCTCCTAATATCTTCTCTTTTAGAGATTCATTATTCTTTTTAATTGACTAATGCTTCATCTATTCTGAACGTTTATGTATTCGACAACTTTGCTGTTTACGAAAAAAAAAAGATTAATATTATTATCAAAATCGTAACAACACATATTGAAGTGATCCTTAGTCAATAATTTTCACTATAAACTTTAAAAACACAGGAGTCGTAAAAACATGATATTTGACGCATGTCTTACAAGATCATAAAATATATCCCTCCCAATGAAAAAATGTTAGTTCTGACTCCAGTGGAACTGGGATCATCTTGCCTATATCTATTGATATCAGTTTGTACTAGCTCCCCTAAATCGCTAATGTCAATGGTTGGTTAACTGAAACTACACATTCCTATTTGAAATTTTTTTTCCTGAAAAAAGTCATCAGTAAGACATTACGATAACACATTTAGCAAATTTTTTAGACTCACAAAAAAAGCATAGTTTACACAGCTTCGATAACGAAAGAAAGTAACACACTAATGTCAAACTGTAGCTCATCTATCGACAATACTACTATTATGTTATAGCAGTGTTTGAACTGTGTAATACCCTTATCTTTTTCACAAGGCAATGCTTGATTTTGATTGATGACTACGATATATTTTCGCCGTAGTTCAAGACAAATGACATCTATCAATGCGGAATATATGAAAATCCCTTAAAAAATAATGAAATTTCGCATGAAAAAATTCAATCATTTTGTGTTCGAAAAATCTTCTCTTCAACTTTCGCCAAGCATAGTCCTTTTTAACTGCACATACTACAATGTAGACCTTAATCAAAATGAATTCATTTCTTTTCTTTTTTTTTAGACAATTTCGTGAGCTAGGTCTCGGTGTTCTTGAACAATGTTATCGTGAAAATGATGATAAAACATGTCAATTATTAACATATGAATTAAAAAATTGGTCTGATTGGACATGTTTATCCTTAGCTGTTATATCACATCATCAAGAATTTGTAGCACATAAATGTTGTCAAATGATATTAAATGACTTATGGATGGGTGGAATGTCTATACGACATTATCTTAATTGGAAAGTAATTGCTTCTATATTATTTTTTCCACTTGTACTTCGTATTGAATTTAAAAGTGCTGAAGAATTAAAATTACAACCTAAAACACATGAAGAACATTTAGCAACACAAAATGATAGTGATCCAGATGATGATGACGATGATGATGATGATGATGATGATGATGATAATGGTACTGAAAATTATCCTTCTGGAATTTTATCAAATGATCATACGCAACATTATATAACCGATGAAAATCAAAGTAAAAAATCTTCAAAATTAAATAATGATAGATCAGTTGAATTTATTTATGAAAATAAACATATTGATAATGAACCAATTGAAATGGTTACATTTAATAAAACAACAAATGATCATGGACAAACATCATTCATAAATTTAAAACAAAGTTTATCAACATCCGTACAACAAACTGATGATATAAATGATAGTAATATTGATACATCAAAAAAAACGGATGAATTACCTATGTCAAATGAAAATTCACCTATAAAAACATTATCATCATCATCATCAATACCAATAACACAACGTTTTTATGAATTTTATAATGCACCAATAACAAAATTTTGGTACAATGCTATATTTTATGTTTTTTTTCTTTTTCTTTTTACTTATATGGTACTTGTACGTACACCAACAAAACCGAGTATACCAGGTAATTATTTTTCTTTTAATAATTTTCTATTGTAAATTTAAAAATATTGAATACATTTGTCTTGTTTTGTTTTGTTTTCTGTTTAGAATATATTGTAACAATTTATTTGGCATCACAAGCACTTGATACAATTCGAGAGGTTTCTTGATTTTATATAAAAATTAGATTTTTGAATGCTTTTTATTAATTGTAGATTTGTACAAATTCATCACCACGTTTTATACGTCGATTAACGGTAAGAAAAATTTATTTTTTTGAAGTAATTGAATCAAATTAAAAAGAGTAATGAAACACATCATTTCTTTTCTTTAAAAAATTACTATTCTAAGGATATTCTACCATTCCAACATATTTCCGGAGTTTGTCAAGAACGGCTCGATTAGTAGCGCACAAGTTAACCAAGGCTCGAAATTTTCCAATTCTTCCTTCTATGAGATATAAAGGAAGCAAGTGCTGAGAATAACTTGAAGACTTTCATCATTGATACAAAATTCATTTCTATTCGATGACATTTTTTATATGACAATCAAGACCAAATTGAGGATGCGAATGGTTTTTTCTCTTCGAAAAATATTGAGCTGCTGGAAAATCAGAGTGGAAATACTGAGAGAACATCCTGGAAAAAAGACGTTTTTTGAATATCTCTTTAGATCTAAAAACTCCACATGGAAAAAAAGAAAGTTGTCAAGTTCGGCAAAGGGATCCGATGCTCTTGATCAAAATAACATTTTCTTTGATATAGAAAAGATCCGTCAGAACTTGAAATAAGATCTCATTTTGAATGTAGAAAAACAAAAAATTTGAAATTTTGACTTACGTTTAATCATTAGTCATGATAAGAGGATATGAGCGGCATCATTTATTAATTTCATTTTGTAAACTTTTTAAAAGGAAATTCACAAAGGGAAGTCCTGCCACTAATAGCTTGTTTTTGAGTCGAGATTATGTGCATTATTGAGATCTTAATGAGCTATGGGTACTTTGAAAAGACGCCGTGCCCTTAGCTTATTACTATGGAAATACTGCATTGTTACGGTATTTTTGAAATGAGAGTCATGGTCCCTCTCAGGAAACATCGGAAAAAAATTGATTTTTGAATTTCCATTTGAAACTATCTACAATGTAAAAGATACGCTATTACCATAATTGTATTTTAGCATAGACACAGCGACAAGATCTAAAATATTTACAATAAACCACTGTTATTAAGGTTTGTCTCTAGGCAATGTTTCAAGTTAAATTTAAAAAATACCTTAAAACTACAGTATCTTCGTAGCAATAAACTAAGAACACGAACTCTTTTCAGAATATTTATAGTTCATTTGAATCAAAAATTTCGTTGACATTATGTGAAACTTTTTTATATAAATTTAGCAGATCTTAAATTGAATCTTTTCAAGCCTCTATCTGTTTGATATGTTCAGATCAACTCATTCTTGTTCAAATAGTTTTCGTAACTTTTTCACTATATTTTAGAAGATTACATTTTATTCTTTCTTCTCCAATGAAGAATATATGTATATATATATTCATTTTGTTTTAGTTGTATTTTTCCGATTTTGTTCATGTATGTGATTCATTAGCACTCTTGGCTTATGGTATTGGATTTATTCTTCGATTTAATGCAAATACTCTCCATATTTCACGTGTACTCTATTGTCTTGATGTATCTTATTGGTGGATACATTTATTAACTTATATATCTGTACATAAATCTCTTGGTCCATATATTCATATTGCTGCACAAAATGTAAGTTAAGATTTTCAATAAAACAACTTTAATTACACTTGCTCCTGTTTGTTTTCATTTAGTTAATTGATTTATTTAATTTTATTATCATAATACTTATTGTACTTGTATCATTTGGAGTATCTCGTCAAGCAATTAAATATCCAAGTGAATCATGGACATGGCGATCAGTTAAAGAAATATTTCTTGAACCATATTTTATGGTAAAATAATACAAAAATATTCTAATAATTAATAAAATATAAAATTCTTCTTGTTTCAAAGATTTATGGTGAAGTTTATGCTGGTTCAATTGATCCTCCATGTTTAGAAAGTGAACCAGATGCTCCACAATGTATGCCATTTCATTGGGTAACACCAATAACTATGACAGCATATCTTATATTTTGTAATATATTACTTCTTTCAATACTTATTGCAACATTTAATAATACTTATATACGTATATCAAAATCATCTGATCAAGTTTGGAAATATCATCGTTATTATATTGTACTTAAATATGAAGCTAAACCAATGTTACCACCACCATTGATACTTTTTTCACATATATTTCTTTTAGTTAAAATAATAATACGTTATTGTCGTGGAAAAAAATTTAAAGTTGATCATGGATTAAGTTTGTATATGATAATAAAATAAGAATAAAAATTAGTTTGTTTTTTGTTTTTTTTATTTAGAATTATTTTTAAGTGAAAAAGAAGTTGCTGAAATACATGATTTTGAAGAAGAACAAATTGATGAATATTTTGCAATGAAAGATAGAGAGAAAAAGAATACAACTGCTGATCAAATTGCATTAACATCGGAACGGTAAATAAAATTGAATACAAAAATATAATGTCTAAGAAAAAGCTTTTTGAAATATCGATAAGAACGTAAATTATATTTGATTTCGAGATAAACAGACCATTGAACCTAAAAAAAAGAGATACTCATCGATTGAAATCGAAATTCTATTAGTATGAACATTTTTAATATTTGATATCTAACGGGTGGCCCATAAAGAATGGCGGTGCCAGTATTTCGTGAATATCTCCCTCAATTTTCATCGCCCAGGCTTCAACCTTTATTTAAAAGACGTGCCATTCAATTCTCTGCAAAGCTGTATGAAAAGAAACTCTTTCGATGAATAGCTGAGAAATCATATCCTGTCAACACTACGGTGCTCTAAAGAGACCCACTTTCAAATGCGCTTTTTTTACACAACTAATTATTTCTCGTCTGCTGGCTAAACAGATGTCAAGTCGTTCTAATGGAAGTTTCCTATGTTTTTATGTGTACTCTTTCTAACAGAGCTGAGAAAAAGATGCTTTGATAAGATTATGAAGTTCTAAAGGCTAATCTTCTTGAAAGACGAGTTGGGAACATTTGTCATTTGCCTGATAGACGTCAGGCATTGCAGAAAAGATCTTTGCGACAGCCCGCTTCTATTCAAATGATAGAGAAAACATTTTCCTTCAATTTGGCAGTAAATCTGAATATGTCTTGATTTGAAACTTGATGTAACAAAATCAAAATTGCGGTGAGCTTAAATTAGCAATCCTCAAAACAAGAATTAGGTGAACAAAAGAAAGGTTTTGTTGAGACGCATTCAGAGTATGTCAAAAAAATTATTCTCTTGACTGATAGAGCTTCTCATATGCTACAAAGTGGCGTATTCAGGTTTTTTAAAATCTGGTCAAAGAGCGACGCAACATTGTAAAAACGAAAAACAGTGATTTGAAAGTGGGCTTCTTTGGAGCATTGCAGTGTTGACCAGATATGATTTTTCAGCTATTCATCGGAAGAGTTTCTTTTCATATAATTTTGTAGAGAATTGAATGGCGCGTCTTTTAGATAAAGGTTGAAGCCTGGGCAATGAAAATTGAGGGAGATATTCACGAAATACTGACACCGCCATTCTTTATGAGCCACGCGTTACATTTCAATAAATGCTACTGTTAAACTCTAATAGGGGTTCTCTTTCGAAGAAGGCATTCTCTGCAAAGGAAAATAGTAGGCTCAAACATTTGTTTCTCGTTTCATCAGATTAATAGATTTATTCAGTGGATTGAAATTCTTATAGAAACGTGAACATTTTTTTCTTAATTGCTTTCGGTTGCGAATAGTAACATTTTCGTGGTGAAGCAGACTTCAACATGGAATTTTGTACGCCAAAATGTTGGACCCTATATTGTCAATAACTCAGAGTAGTACTCCTTCGTTATATTTGAGAAAGCATTGTACAAGAAACTTAAGTTAGATAAATTAAAAGTTGCTGAAAATTTTTCTTCACCTTCAGTGACTAAGTTTAAATGCTTCAGTAAAGTAGATCGAAAAATTCTTCAATTGAGAATCGAACTTAAATAAAAAAAACTAATGTTAATGTGTTTTTTTAAGTGCATGACTTTTGACACAAGTTGAGAGCTTTTTCTAAACCATATAGCTTTATACAGTGCTAATTGTGGCTTGGAAATAAGAAGTACTAAATGTATTTCAACCTGAATAACATAAAAAGAGTCGGCTTTTCCCATTGTCCGTACTCTTAACTCTCAGGTAAAGTTCTTAGATAGATTGTTGAGCCTATCCTAAATTCAAAACATTCTGCCGCATATACAAGAAAGTACAGGAGTGAGAGTTTAAATCTTTTAATTAGTCTTTGTATTCCATATGGATCTTGTACACTTTATATACTACTTATATAGGTCTGTAATACACAATAACTATATAACAAATCTTAAAGAATGATATCTAAATTAGCGAATAAACTCATATATCTATCAATTCAAAAGAATGAGTACGTTTTGTGATTAGCCATAGCAGCTACATTGTGTTTTATATTGTAATCACGTAGAGTTTGTACTAACCAACTGTTTTTATCAAAATGAAAACTTAGAGTTGAAAAGGTGTACCCATCCAAACACTCAATAAAATCTTCTGAAACCTATAAAATTTGTCATAATCAAAAGTTATTAACAGATTCAGTATTAAATTCTAATAATATGTAAAAGCAGTACTAAACTGATTACTAATGAAAAAATTTTAAAATATCTTTTTCTTTTTAAATTAAATGTTCATCGATGTTTCTATGCGTTAAAAATGATTTTAATTGAAATATGTTACGTAAATGATATACATGAAATCATGCTTGATCGCATGAGCTATCATATTTCATCTTCTCTATATATAAAACATTAATTTTTTTCATTTTAATATTTCTCTATTTAGTGTCGATGCAACAGTCTTACGTATTGATGATATTTATCAGCGTGAAAATCAAAATCGTGCTGTTCTTCAAAATCTTGATTGGCGTTTACAACGTTTAGAAGATCTTAATATGAATACATATGAAATGATTCAAAAAATGTATTTAAATCAATCATTTGATGAACAAGATTCATCATATACATGTCATCGTCGAACATCTTGGTTCGATGATGATATACATGATCGACAACAACAACAACAACGACGACGACGTCGTTCATCATTAACATGTTATGAATTGAATTATTTTAAAGAAAAACATATGTCAAAATCAACAACAATGTTAATTAATCGAATGCCAATGTCAAAACATGAACAAATTTCATTATCAAAAAAATCAAATCAAGTTCAAAGACGATCAACATTTCATCGATTAGATTCATTAACAAGTAATGATTTAAATATTAATCGAATACAATCAAATGAATATACTTCAATAACTGATGGTAAAATTTTTTTTAAATTTCATTTTGTTATTTAATTAAATTGATTTTCTTTTTCTTTTCTAGCTATTGATACAACTCATCATCATGAATGGCGGTCATCGAGTCCAATAGCTATCCGTCCTTCAACAATTGATAGCAATTCCATGGTATTATTTGAATCAACAAAAGAAGAAACAGCTGCATATGATGCTGAAGAACAAACACATAATTTAATTGGTGAAATAATACGAAAACGTGTTCGACATTCATCAATAAATCAACCAAATAATCCAACAGAATCTTATTACGATAGTGATCGAATATCACTTCTTTCAGTTGATCTTAATACTAGTTCATCCAATCTCAATCTTGAAACTTCAGATGCAAAAACTAGTCCATAAAAAACAAATACATTAATATATATATTTTTTTCCTTGTAGACAACTTTCCGGTATTGTGTTATGTCAGATTTAATATTTTAAAATAAAATTTAACACAATTTTTAGTTAGCTGTTTTTCTTTTGATTAACCATATTTTTGTTTGTTTTTTGTACCTATGACACTACTTGTAGAATATTTCTAATATATTGTTTGATTTTGTTCGTTTATTCATTTTATTAACGTGTTTCAGTTGTCGACTATGAATATATTGATTATATTATTTTTAATGCATAGTTACTGATTATAAAATACTTTTGTTCTTACTATTCGTAAATATAACGAGCAGCTGCTCTCTTTAAGTTCGATTTTATTGATATTATCTATTTATGCATGCTGACAAAACCTTTCTTGGTGCACTTGAGTTAGAATATACCGTGCGAAACTTTTAAAATGTAGAAATTCTTTTTTTTTGGTTCCGAAAACGGAATTCTTTTCTGGTTGAAATTTTATAAGGTAGTTTTTTTTCAATTAGACTGCACTTCGTTTTTCTCTCGTTTATTTGTTCTTTTGTTCGATCGTTATCTTTTTCATTACTTTCATTGTTACACAAGTGAACAACATCAGTCAATTATTTGTACTAACAATGCCTTTAACTCGTCCGAATATAACAATTATTCTTGCTTATATTATTATTGGATTAACTCTAAGTGCAATTATATTAGTTGTACTTTCTATAAGTACTACTCATTGGATACATACAATACGTATGCGAGCTGGATTTTGGAAACTTTGTCATTTAGAACCATTGGCATGTTTTCATTCTGTCGTACGTTCTCCAGCTGCTTTATCATTGACCGGATTGTTTTTAATTGTTATTGGTTTGGTATCAACTTTCATATTTGACATTATTGGTTATCATGCAGCATCATCTGTTCGATTTATTTCATTATTATCTGCTTTGTCATTAGGACTCGGCACATTTTTTTTCGTTATGAGTTATGTAGCATTTTCTCGTATAGTTGCACAATTTTGTTATTCCTATTATTTAGTGGTTGCTGGGCAATTATTGTCAATGAGTGCAGCAATTTTAGCTAGCTATTTAGAGGGACGACGAAATGCATTAGTATCTACATCGGCCATAATGAGTCGATTGGTTGTGCGCAGACCTTGAAACACGGTTGTTGTTCTTCTTTCATTTTTACCTACTTTTTTTTTCTTTCCTCCATTCATACTTACTCGCCTTTTTTTCTTTTTTCCGTTTCTAAGATACCGACCAATAATCATCGTACAGTGAAGCACAATGTGTGAGAATAGCTATTGTATTTTATGGTATATAGCTACTCATTTTGTGGACGGTATCTATGACACAGCATAGATCGAATATCGCCTGTGTCATTCTGTCTTTGTACTTTTTAAATAAGATTTGAAGTACGAATTTACTCATGTAAAATGGACTTTTAATAGTATCAATTTAAATAAATGAAATACTTGTTCGTGATCAATATTTACTATTCGATTGGTAACGAATATCATTTAACTTGCTCTTCCATTTTTTTTATTATGTTGTATATATGCGTGTATCATAATGTTGATCTACATAGTTAGAATACCTTTTTCTTTGTAGTTTTTATGTAAAATATATATATTAAAAAATTAAGAATAGATTAATATTCTTTCATATATTTGTATAAGTAAAAAAAGAATATTTCCTTTTATTAAAGATAAATTATAGTTGTATGTCTAGTTCCCATTCTTTACCGAACCAACAAGAATTCGATAACAACGATCTGTCTATTGATATGTCAACCAAGTTTTCAAATAAATTATCTGGTGTATCCTCGTCAACTATTTTATTAAGAAGTGATTCATCAGCATCAACATCATTAAATGAATCTGGTCAACTAGCTGCTAATAAACGTGCTGTTAAATCATGTTTCTGGTCGACTGTTGTATTCTCAATAAATTTTATTTCATCAATTCTTGTTATTAATTTAGCTAAATGGTAAGTTTTATTATTTAATTAATTTTATATAAAACAATAAAAATAAATACTTTGTTAATTATTCTTTTTATATTTGTTTTTTTCTAAATAGGATTTATGTTAAACATCATTTTCCTAATTTAACATTAACAACAATAAATTTTTTTGTAACTTTTTTTCTTTTACTTGGTTGTATGCAAGCAAAAATATTTACTTATGTTAAATTACCAATTTTTAATATGATTCCAGTATCGGCATGTTTTGGTGGCTTTATTGCATTCAGTAACCTTTCACTTCAATATAATACTGTTGGGACATATCAACTTATTAAATTACAAGTAACACCAAGTAAGTTTATTTAACCTGTACAGAGAAAAACATGTATATTGAAGCATTGTTAAATCAATGTTAGGTAAAAAAAGTAACTATTATCATAAGGACATACTAGAAAATTATATTATACTAATGATATTTGCACATGTATAATAGTTAATAAAAAAAATAATGTCTATGAAAACACGTGAGGGATTGATTCGAACTTAAATAGTTGAAATAAATTTTTGTAAATATGTTAGTGTATTATGAACGGTATATATACTGTTTTCAGAACGCTCGGAAATGAAAATGACGTAAGTAAAAATGAAAGAAGAAATTTTTCTAGGATTTGAAATTTAGAAATTTTTTTAAGGTGAATTTGCAAAATTTCATCTGTACAAAAATTGGTATCGACTGCATTACTTTTCGATTAGAATTTCAGATCGATTATTGAGAACATACCCGATTGTTTTTCTTTATGTGAATAAATTATAGACTTATTATCATTTTCTACTATACTGATAATATGAGTTGTTCTATTCGAGTTCCAATATTAATGAAGATCTAAATGCTTGATATCAATTTGATAATAAATAAAAATAAAATATTAATCATCAGAAAATTGAGTAGAGCAAAGTTTTTGTCATTTCCATTCTCAGTCAGACTACATTTCATAGACTTGAAAATTTGTTAATAGATAATAGACAATGTGTGTAGCACATACTTCTTTTATCTCATTCTGTTCGAATAAAATTGTTAAAATTCTGAGAGCATGCATGCGTTTAAAATGAAAAATCTGAAAATGTGAGCCGATAAACGAATACTGTAAAATTTAATAGTTGATAGTCATCATATGAGATCTCAATTTGTTAACATATATTATCAGATATGTCAATAAAGATGCAGCAGAAATCTCGATTGATGAACTTATACGATAGACAATTGAATATTTCAGTTAGAAAACTACTCACTAAAGTATTATTTTACATTGAAATTAAATTTAGGATAATATTCAACTATATTTAATAGTAAAATTTCTATGTCTATTTTAGCTGTGATGTTGATCAGTTGGTTATTTTTTAAAGCAGAATATTCATTACCAATTGTCGTTTCATTTATTCCAGTTTTTGTTGGAACATTAATTAGTACTTATTATGATTTACAATTTAATGTATTTGGTCTTTTTTGTAAATATTGAATTTTTTTTCTATTTTTAATCTATATCTTACTTGTTTTAGGTGCTATAACATCTGTAGCATTTACTGCTATGTATCAAATACTTGTTGAATATTATCAAAAAGCATATAATTGTGATTCATTACAGTTATTATTTTATCAAGCTCCACTTTCTGGTCTATTACTTTTATTTTTTCTGCCATTTTTTGAACCAATAACTGAGTTACATAAATTTATGACATATGATATTATTGTTCTAATATTACTTTGTGGTATTGTTGCATTTTTTGTTAACTTTAGTATTTTTTGGGTGATTGGAAATTTATCAGCTGTTGCATATAATATGATTGGACATTCAAAAACATTATTAATTATATTTATTGGTTCATTTATATTTAGTGAACCACTTAATCAACGACAAATATTTGGTTTATGTTTTACAATGCTTGGAGTTTTTCTTTATTCATATTTTAAATATATTAGAAAAAGCTGATGAATAAATACATTTTGAGCTTATCTAATATTTGTATCTGGTATTTTATCAATGAAATTAATTATTGATCTCATAGATATTGTTGACAACAGTTATTTTTTAAAACATTTAACTTTTATTCAAGTATTTGTGATAATGTGTATATGTTGAGTGCAAAAAGTTAAATTTTCTTCGTTGTGTTTGTTTTCTTTATTCATTCCAAAAAAAAAATTCTTTTTTGTGTTACTTCTTATTTAATTGATTAAAAGGACAAAACAAAATATATAATAAATAAAAATTGCTTATTAAATTATTTTAGATGACAACATCATCGTCTTATGCAATTGGGATTGATGTTGGAACAGGAAGTGTTCGTTGCATGATTTTTGATGATAAATGGACGCCGGTTGTTCAATGTCAAAAACCGATTCGTGTGAGATATTGAAAAATATTTGTTAGAAAATATAATTTTCTATCACTTCAGTCTTTCCTAATTTTACATCTTAATTTGTAATATAGTCTTGTAAACGTTTAAATAATGACATCGTGATAGTTCTTCAAGTATTAATGGTGTAGAAGTCGTTAACTCGTTACAACTTTTAGACTTTGTAACTCGACTATTCGAGTTTTCAACTATTTCGTGGCGCTCCCATCTGGTGCTGTAAGATTAAAAAAAAGCGAGCTCAAAATACTTCAATTCACCATCTATGTTTTACCAATCAACTATGCGCCTTGGTAGAGCATTGATATCTCAACCCCTCAATATCCGAAAAGGAACTCCCAAGCGTTATAGATAAACTTTCCAGGGATTTTCGAGAACGCTCTAAAGTGCACCAAAGAAGGTCTCCAACGGGTCTCGCGGCAGCAATATGGATCTCCACGGATCTCTAGTTGATATCCCGGGATCCATAGGAAACCTTGAACAAAAACTAATTGCGTTTCCAAGAATAGCTGTAGAAGACATTATATGAAAACCTTTGACGTAATGTTCAAAGAATTAGTATAAACACAGCTTATTAATCGCTTTAAAAAAATGTGCAACAGCATAATCTCATGGGTCGTAATCACATATAGGAAAATATATGTTATCGTCTTCTTATACAAAATGTCATTTTTCGAATTAGTTATAGTTTAATGAAATATGTTCTCCAAAGTTTTAATCATAATAGATATAATAAATAAATATGTATTTTATTTTCAATAGTATATTTTTCTTTTTATAGACATATCATTCATCATCTGCTCCGCTTGAATACGAACAATCATCAACGGATATTTGGCAAGCAATATGTTATTGTGTTCGAAAATGTCTTGAACTTGGATCATTTACATCTGAACAAATAGAACTTATTCGTTCGATTGGTTTTGATGCAACATGTTCTCTGGTTGTTCTTGATGAAAAATATCAACCTGTTAGTGTTTCTCTTTCGGGTAACGATGAACAGAATATAATTATGTGGCTTGATCATCGAGCACATGCTGAAGCAGCTATAATAAATTCAAGTTCCGATGATGTTTTAAAAAATTTTGGTGGTAAGATTAGCCTTGAAATGCAGCCAGGAAAATTAATGTGGCTTAAACGTAATTTATCTAAAGAACAATGGATACGCGCACGACATTTTTTTGATTTACCAGATTATTTACATTTTCGTGCAACAGAACAATTAGATCGATCACTTTGTTCATCTGTGTGTAAATTATGTTATCGTTCATCGGAAGCACAACATGGATGGGATGAAAAATTTTGGGCTAAATTTGATTTAGATGATTTAATGGAAAAGAAAGGTGAAAAATTAGGTCAACTTGTTCGTAAACCATTTTCAAACTCGAATACTGATCTCTTAAGTAAAAAAGCTGCAGATGAACTCGGTTTACCAGAAGGAATTCATGTTGGTTCACCATTAATTGATGCATATGCAGGAGCATTAGGTGGATTAGCATGTAAATCTCCAATAGCCGATGCTCATCTCACTGAACGATTGATTATTGTTGCAGGGTATTATAAAAAAGAAAATATTTCGATGTTCATCATTGTCATTTGTTTTATTTTTAGTACATCGAGTTGTTTTATGGCATGTAGTGAAAAAGCAGTTTTTGTTCCTGGAGTATGGGGTCCACATTATAATGTTCTTATTCCTAATCTATGGCTTAGTGAAGGAGGTCAATCAGCAGCTGGAAAATCTATTGATCATGTAATACAAATACATCCAGCTTATAATGAATTAAAACAATTATCAGATGAACAAAATAGAAATATATTTGATATACTTAATGAAATTTTAAATAATTTACAAAAGAAAAATAATGTTGGTAATGTATCATTATTAAATGGTGATTTACATATGACAATTGATTTTCATGGTAACCGTTCACCATTAGCTGATCCAGAATTAGGTGCTTCAATGACTGGTCTTCGTTTTGATACATCATTAAATAATTTAGCAATACAATATTTAGCTGTATTACAAGCTGTTGCTTATGATAGTCGACATATAATTGAAACAATGACTAAATCTGGTCATCATTTTCGTGTTGTACAAATTTGTGGTGGTTTAGCACGATTACCATTATTAACACAACTTATTGCTGATGTTGTTCAAATGCCTGTTTATGTTTCGGAAGCAACTAATGATTGTGTTCTATTAGGTGCAGCAATATGTGGTCAATTAATAGCTGATAATGCACATCAAGTAGAAGATTTACTTAATAAGATAGCATGTCCAATTCAAATATATATGCCGGATTCTAAAATAGCTGATTTTCATAAAGATAAATATGAAATTTATCGTTTATTACAACAAATAGAAATTAATAGTCGTAAACAAATGAGTAAATATTCTCAATCATAAAAAGAAAAAACAATTTTGGCAATGTTTTTTTTTCATATTGATTTTTTCTGATCTATTTTCTATGCAATTATACTGATGATTTAATTTTCTCTTATAAACATAATTTTAGCTTCCTAATGATAGTTGATAGATATGATAAGTTATTTTTAAATTGTAGATTAAAAAATTTATTATGAATATAAACGATATTGAAAAAGTATGTAGATTAGATTTTGCAATTAAATGTGAATTAATATATGATGTTTTGGTTTGGGTTTGATTTCTAGCTTTTTCGTGAATGTGATCGAAAAAGAAAAGGATATCTTGATCGAGAAGATATTAAAGTAGCATCTATACGACTTTATGGAATTAAATTAGATAAAGTATGATTGAGATATGTGAAATATAAGGATTATGAATAGTTTTTCTTTCAGCATAAAATTGAACGATTAATTTCTAGTATTCCGAATCGAACTCATCCAGGTAAGAATATTTTATGAAACGAATAAAAAGAAACTGTTTGATGATTATTTAAGGTTTAACATTGGATCAATTTATTGATTTTGTACATAGTTATGATCATCAAATTGATCGTGAAGATCAAAATCGTGAAACATTTCTTATTCTTGATCGAACATGTAAGAAAGTTTGTGTTTTTTTAATTTTTTTCAACAGAAATATCTTTTATTTAGGTAAAGGTTTTTTAACTAAAGATGATTTTATTCGAGCATTTGAACGTATTAATGTTAAATTAAAAACAGAAACAATTGATTCTGCTTTTAAGTATGTTTCATTCAATATTCTATCGTTGATTTTAATTAATGAAATATATTTTTCTTTTAATTCTAGACAACTCGATGTCGATGGTGATGGTCGTATTAGTTATCGAGACTTTGATTTTATGATGAATTATGCAGCAGATGAATGATTTTTGTAATAATATAGAATAGAATGCAACAAACTGCTTGATTGTTTTCAAGCAGTCTAAATGTGTAGGATAATATAGAAAACAAAACAGTCTTAAACCTTGTCATTGATCTGCATGAATGGTTTATTATAATTGGAAGATGATGAAAACAAAATATTGTTGATATTATCATGATTTTGTTTTGCTTCACTGTTTTCAAATAGATAAATAATCTTCGATATCTATGCATTTGAAAGTATTGAATCATGAAAATCGTCTTGTTTTCTTTTCAGTTTCTTTTACACTTGAGTTGGGACAAATACATTTATCCCCCCCCCCCCCCCCCCCTCATGCATTGCGTATATATTGACTAATTCGACTAATTAGCCTCTGAGGAGTTCATTAAAAGTATTCTCAAGGGCCCCAGACCAGTAGTTTAATAGATAGAGTGTATTTGTCCCGCTTGATACAAGTCTTAGAAAGCATCTCAATAGCTGAGGGTGNAAAAAAAAACATTTTTTTCGTAAAAAAGTCCTTCTCTCTCCTAAAAAAAGCAAAAAGCAAAATTTCAAAAAACTAATCACGGATTCGGATTCCCCGACCCCGATTACCTGTGGTCAAACGTTTTAGAGCGTCTTCATGAGAGAGGTCAAGAAAACATTTTTTTGTTCTGTGCGAACGAACGTACACACACACACGGTTACGAACAAACGCATTTAACTCATTTTTCGTAAGACTCTCCTTTCAGTAGAGGGAAAAACACGGTTATGATGTATATGTTTATGATGTTCAAGTTCATAGTGTTAGTACTTCAAAAGTCAAGATATTTCCATCTTTTTTCATTTTCCTTTTGATTTTTGTTGTCAAGTTTTATAACATCTCTGTTGTAAAAGTCCTGGTATATAGGTTGAAAATGATCGAATAAGATCGAAAATTCCCGTATTATGTTAAAATAACAAAACGATTTTGCATTAACATAACTCTACATTTATTGATTTATTAGAAATTAAACATTTTTATGTTTTTATAAAACTTGGAAGAATAATAGATTTTCTACGGGATACATCTTTCAATATATATACTGGACTGGTCGCTGGTCCAATTTCAAGCCTGCTTGAGATCAACGTCACTTGAAATACAATTTAGATGAATTGTTATAGGAATTTGATCTTCTTATGAATCAGAATCAGACGAAGAAGTTATTAGTTGCAAGATGATAATAAGATTGAATTCTTAGAACAATTCCTCTAATTTATATGTCAAGCATCCAAGATCGACAAAACATGACTGTTCTCTGTATCTTGATATACTCAAATCAAAAACTGAACACGTAAAAAGCGTTAAAGTCCGAAGTGAATATATATTTGTTCGAAACGTTTAACGCATCAAAATGTGAACCTTCTAAGATTTTATTTTCGTTAAAAAGTTCGATACATTTTTACATATCGTTGCCTAAGATTTGCTTGTCTTGGTGGTAATCTTAATTTCACGTGTTACGACAACTCTCACATTTGGCGTATTTGTATTTCTTATTCGAGTAATAAATGGAAGAATTTCGTACAAAACTATGCAAGTAGTGAAAGAAGCATTTCATCATTTATTTTAATTGTTAACTCACTAGAAAAAAGTATAGCATTTATTTGAATCGTGACTGTAACAATATAAGACAGTATTATGCATTGTTTGTCAGTTTGCTGATACCTTTACAAAGAGATAATCAAGAAAAAACATTAGCTACCAGAAAAATAGAAGTTCGCTTTGATTGAAAATAACGGTACACACTTTTGCTTCTCATTTCAAAAATGAATTTTCATTATACAGGGCGTGTAGATAGGAAATGAACTCGATAGAAGTTGTGGGTGTGGATGTGAGCATGATTTGCTCTTCATCTGCACCCACACCCTAATAATTAGTTTTTGTATTAATAAGTATTCAGTAATGTGCATTATATATTTCTTTATTGATGTTTCGGCGTATCTAACGTGTTCTTAAAATTGACTGCTTTCTCTCTGAATCGACCATACAAACATGTTGTGCTACCTTCATTTTGATAGAATCATTTATCGGAACAAATTGCTCCAATCGCATTTCTTTCCGTTTCTGCCTCGGTTTACTACCAATGAATATAATGTATTTGGATTGTAGAACCACTTAACTCAAGGGTACAATTCGTTCATATCATATCCGGAACAAATCATTACTGAACACTTTTTTCTCGACAACTATATTGAGATACAAATTTGTTCTTAGTGCAAATACTTTCCTGAGAGTGAATGACTCATGTTAACTATCACAGAAAGAATATTTGCCTACATCAAACCGTATGGAAGTTCGTCATTGCACTACAGTTGTGCAATTCTTATGAGTTATAAAAACAGAGCGAAGAATTTGATCAATTCTTTACTTTTTGCCCTAAACTATTCACATAACAAGCGATCAACAAAGGTTGGCAGAGACATTTTGCTTGAATCCTCGTCTGCACATCCCTCAGGCTGTTTCTTCTTGTTAGAGATCATACTTTGTCACAGAAACTATTCCAACTCGTTAGTGAGCCCTGCGTTTTTCTTATGACCATAGTGTCATCTGACTTCAATATCCTTGAGATACTCGCATCCAAAATATCAACCTTTTTGTCAGACTATCTTAGGAGCTAAATTCAAACATAGAAACACACTTTAAAAACAAAAGAGAGCATTTTGTTTATGATTAAGAAGACACAATTACTGGGTGTATTTTGATTTCTGCAGTTTAATATTGCTCATTAGTTTTTTTTTCTTTCAACTCATCCATAGAAGAATCATGTCATCTGAAGTGGAACTGAAACATCATTCAATCATTTCACTATTGTCATCTTTCAGCGCATCTGATATCAATGGGCGGCTTTCTCAAGCTGAAATATGCGAGTGTGTGAGTGTGGGCGGTGATATTGATATTGTTCAGACATCCACACCCACGTATTGGCGTAATCTTTTGAGTCATAATCAAATACATATACACCTTAATCCTATCTGTCTACTTAGAAAATCTAGAAACAGCAAATCTTGCTGAGAGTTTGATGGAAAATTTCGAAGAGAAAAATCATAAACAGATATTTATCTTAATTTTTTGTCCTGCAATAAATAAATTAAATTCAGCTAGCAACTGTCTCAAATTTATTTCATCATCTGAAAATCTAAAATTTAATGTTTCAAATAGCTCTTTGAAAAGCTGTTATCATTTTTTATATTTTGCTTTTCGATTTTGTCCTGTCAATTCAATGTAGGCAGTATTGTTGACGAAACATTAAGAATAGAATAAAGACCAAAAAGAGAGATCAAATATTTACTCTTTAACCTTTACGGGAAATGTTTTCAAGCAAGAAAAAAGCTACTTCATACCAAATTGAAGAAACATTGGCCATTCATTTCATAAGTCAAAATACAGATTTACAACCGTTTCGTCATCCATTTCGTAGCGGTGACTATGGTGATGGTTCTCCACCAAAAACATTAGTTGAATTGCAAATGATGCATTTGAGCAGCATTATTCGAACGAAATTAACTTGGTATGAAAAAATGAAAGATGAAACAATACGAAACAAATGGAAAGAAGAGGCTTTAGAACAAACATTACTTACAAAAAAACAAATCGATTATGTTCTGAATGAACTAGAATATTATGATTCAATAAGGGATGGATCTATGGGAATGTCCGCTGTCGATGGTGTATGGCAAAGTGATGAATTAATACCCATTGATATGAAAGAATCCTTGATTGTATGTGTAAAAAGTTTGGAGAATATACCAGAAAGCGAACAAGATTGGCATCCTGGTACAAATAAACAAATATTAGATTTGGTTCATCCGTCATTATTTTGTTTTGTTCATCAAATGACAAGAGTCATCAATGATAAGAATCGTATTATCGATGTTGATAATGCTCTAGAGCATATTAGTGATGGCGAAGTTATTGACATCAATGCAGTTTTATCTTCAAAAAATAAAGGTCAAAAATTTTCGGATGACGATTATACTCGATCGAATGCATATCAGTGGTTGCCAGCTGAATTTAATGTTTCAAAGGATGGTCAAGTTGCAATCGAATCATATATCAATAATTTGCATCCAATAGAAAATAAAAAATTATATCGATTGATTGAACAAATATGTGAACGTTTTATACCACTATTTAACAAAGTTTTAACAGATTTAATTCATAATGAAACGAAAGAGAATCGAATTCTTGTCAGTTCTTATAAATGGTACGATTATTCAAAGCCAGGTGATGATGATGATGACAACAATGATCCTGATCGTCATTTCCGATCAATTATATTACCTGATATCGGAGAATTTCAGATGCCATCACCAGCGACTTCAAGCGTTGATTTACGTGGAAGAAAACTACAAATAATTGTTAAATTAGCTAATATTATATTGACACCAGAAAATCCCAAATATCCTGGTGGTGTTTGGCATGTTGAAGGAATGGAAAATGAACATATTGTTTGTACAGGTATTTTTTATTATTTCAGTTCTAATATCACACAATCAGATTTACAATTTCGAACTGTGATAAGTGAACCAAATTATGAACAATATGACGATTATGGTGTGAGAAAAGTTTATGGTTTAAATGATCGAGCGCCGTTAAATCAAATGTTGGGGGAAATAATTACGAAAGAAAATCGTTGTATTGCATTTCCTAATATTTATCAACATCGTGTGGCACCATTTGAATTAAAAGATCCAACACAATCAGGTCAACGCAAAATATTAGTTTTTTTTTTGGTTGATCCAACTATTCGTATACTATCTACTGCTAATGTTCCACCTCAACAATCTCATTGGTTGGTCGATATTGTACGTTCAATACCTCCATTTAATAGTTTACCATCAATAGTCGTCGATAGAATCATGCGTTACGTTGATTTTCCTATGAGTATGAGTCGAGCGAAACAACATCGTGAAAAATTAATGAATGAAAGAAAATATTTTATTTCACAAAATAATGAGTTACTGTTTGAAAGGCCATTTTCTTTATGTGAACATTGAACTTAATTTTGAAATTGGCTTCATCTGTCCAAACACTAGCCTGTTCTGTGACAGTTAATCTTGATTTTAATAAAATGTACAATCAAAGTCCTAAAATATGACCGCTGTTTTAAATTTTTCATATGGCCTAAAATAAAGCCTTTCTATATGATAACGTCGGTATATGTATGTGACCAAGCGAGAAATAACCAATTCTTGTTGACTTCAAACTCTATATAGACAGCTTTGAAATTTTAGACCTGATTTCATTTTTTTGTCCACTTACTGATGTTAATTCCCATGAAAATTGTCAATTACTCAATCGATAAACTATCAATGACATTTCACTGACCCATTTCATCGCTGTTCTTTTTCATGATTGTTTTCATCACTAGTTTTCTATCGCGAAATACTATTCTCGTTCGAATGTCTAGAGTAACATCAATACATATGGCCCTATGATTAATCAAATGCAGCTACTACCAGCAAAGAGTCATAATTGAAAGTTTTCTTCACTATTTTCAGGCATAAAAAATATGAGAAGGATTGAGAGAGATGTATCTCCTTCTCTAGATCAAAAGTCAAAACATAATGTTCAATATTTTCTAAAATAAGTTTACTCATGTGGATCATTTCCATTTACTTATTGCTATCTTATTTCAAACATTTGAAGTAGAATTGTATCACATCTTGGTTCTTCATGTGATTTTATTGATGTAATTGCTGGAAGATCAATTGTCACCGTTGACTAGCTGTTCCACTCATGCTATCAAAGCATAATATTAATTCGTGCAATCATTAATCTGCTTCACTTCTTTAGCAAGAAATGACTTAGATAGCTTTGCTAGTAACGAAAAATGTTGGTTGATTCTTTTTTTTAAATCCATATTAAAGAATCACCGTTAGTGAAGAGAGCGTTCAACAAAATCGACATATAATTTCGCTGAACGTGTTATAATGCGATGCCTTGACAATGACTGATTCCAAAACTCTTGCATTTCAAAGTTCCATCGAGGCGAAAAAAGTCTTTGCCTTTCAATTGTATTTGAAAAAGTCTCATACTGAGCTTGAAGGTGTATGGTGCTACGCACACAACAATGTCTTCGTTTTATTTAAGTCTTACATACTACGAAATACAGCTTGGTCTAATGTCTGTACTTGATTTCTGATGAATTCAGCATGACTTATCCCCTCTAGACTAAGGAGTACATATTGCTACTCCACCGTACGTGTGTGCAGCCTCACACTCTTCTCTCAATACTCTAGCGTTCTCAGACAATTTATATTGATCTCGAAGAGAATATTTAGAAAACTTCAAATTTGTATCTTAACTTAGTCATAACAATGACAGTCAACTATTGAATTCTAGTGACTTCATAACTGGCAGTGAATGATTGCATTTTATTTAAATCAAGTAATAGTGAAGTTCCGGATATATGTATATATGAAAACTGTTAAATCAACTATATAAGGGTGTGGGTGTGGGTGTGCTAATTTTTTATTTCAACCCACACCGACACCCCAGACCCACACCCAACTTTTTAAAGTGCTTCTACATCAGTATCATTTTTCTGTTAGTTAAAATAAAGTTAAATTAGAGATAACTTAATTTATTTCAAATTTTAGTACTTTGGACTCAATTTATAATTTATTAAATTATGCATAAAATATAATTATTCTATTTCTTTTTGATATTTTATCTCAGTCAAATGAAGAGTAAAAAAACTCGTTAAAATGCGCCGAGTTTTATTGAAAATAAAATCGTGAAAAGTGTACATTTTTACGTGTTCACAACGCGTTGAAGTTTCCGAACGAATCTATATCTGGTCAAAAATCTAAGGAGTTATAGACGCGTTTAATGTGTACTTTTTATAATTTTATTGTCGTTAAAATTTAAACGCATTCTACGGGTATTTGTTCGTTGTTCAACTGATTGGAATAAAATATCAAAAAGATATAAAATAATTTATTTTAATTTATAATAAATTAAATTGAAAGTAAACATAAATTGATACCCCCAGTCTATTAGAAGTTCTTGCGTTAACTGCTCTGTTAGCTTCCTAAAAGTGAGATTCGTATCTTTTATCACCATAATTGTCGATGAAACGTAAGTACTGTAAAAGTCACTCTGTTTGACATGGGTTGTGGCAAAGCTATTTTATATGTAAGAACTACTTCAATCAAATCTATCGATTGCAAATTTTGAACACCCTCAATCAGAATTTTCTTGAAACCACCTTCTGGTAATTAAAATGCCTCATTTTCATATCCCATCGGTTTTTGTTGTTTGCAACTACTTTTGAAATTCAACTTTAATTTTATCCCTAGTCTAATAATGTAAGAAATCAAAAATACTCACTTAATAAGTAATACTGGTGTGTACGAGTTTTGTTTTGTGTGTTTTCAATCGATTTTGCTTCGTATTTATCGTTGAGAAAATAACTTGTCGTTTCCCATTTACATATGTTTACATGAATCAATGAAGCATGACATTTTCATCAGGTACTTAGTTATTTTTCATATATTCGCTCTTCATCACATTTATTTTGTACTTTTAATATTCTTTCTCTTTTTTACTTGTCTTTGCATTTCGTCTTATTACGATGAGAAGATATACTTTAANACTTATCTCTCAAGGGAAATGAAGAAGAAAATATTATATTTATTTTGTATTATAAATATGCGGATTCTACGATGAAAGCTTACATGTTGTATAAATAGCATATGCAAAATCAGCATAATGAATTATCAATCCTGGTTCGGAGTAAACAATTCTGCTTTTTTGTCAAGAATTGAAATAGCCCAATATCGACCAAGAACGTTAAGAAAGAACCATTTGTATGTAGCTAATATCTGTACATGTACACTCAATCAGATAATAGAGCAGGTTGGATCACAGGTTATGACATAATTTTCTTACCAATTAAAACGATTAGAACTGTTTTACTATTACTTCAAACGATTGATATTTATTTAAGCATTGTTGAAATCAACAGGTTCTATTTCAACACTCGATAAATTGTCATTGATATTCGAATTCAAGAACTCGACATTCATTAGTTTATGGTTGGTATTACTTCCTCTCTGTGGAATCTACTAATAAGTATCATAGCAATTAGTTTTGAATTATTCACCTGTTTTACGATTTAAACTAGTTAGTCAATAATGATTTGCCCGCAAACTACATTATTCTTGAGAGAAATAAATTTTAGATTCTCTTTCAGAACATAAACTTTTCATGATGAATCAAAATGCACGCGTACCTAATGTAGTCCTCGAAGACATGACCGTGACTCAACTTGAAGAAAAACGACTTGGCTGTCGTTCAATTCTTCGTGAGTTCTGTTTAAATACAACAGCACATGGATTGCCAGGTATCGCTCGTAGTAAAACTCGACATAATCGTATCTTTTGGTCGGTTGCATTCATCATTTTTACTGGTATAATGATCTTTTTTCTTGTCAAAGCGGTTCTAGCCTATTTCGACTATCCGACAAATATAGACACAAGCATTGTCAGTGAATGGCCACAACAGTTTCCAGCGTTTAGTTTTTGTAATGTCTCACCATTTCGTCTTGATCGACTTCAGGATTTTTTTCTAAACTACTCCATTGTACACAATTTGACAAGTGTAAATAATACAGCAGGAAATCAATCTCATTTTCAAAATATTGTAAAATTTATAGTAAATTCTCTCAATAAAAACGAATCGGTGGAACAACTTTTCTATCCGCTTTCTTCAATGATGTACTCATGTACATTCAATAGTGTGCCATGTTCAGCAAGTGATTTCATTTCATTTACATCAGCAGCCTACGGTTCCTGCTATACATTCAATGCAAAATTAAGAAATATTACCAGTCCAAATATACTTTACGCGAATGACTACGGTGGTAATGGTAAGCTCTCTTTAGGGCTTTACATACATAGGCATCAATATATACCTTACATTGTGAACGGTAGGTCGACATCTTATTCACCAAATTTGATCAATTATGTTTCTCCATTGAGGGTTTGGTATGATGGCTCTTGTTCATGATAATACACAATTACCACTTATTGAAACAGCCGGCATCGAATTAGCTCCAGGACGAAGACACAAACTAGGATATAAAAAGAAGGCAACTTACTTTTTATCTTCGCCCTATACAAAATGTACTGACAAAGTACCTTTTTCTATGCAAGCTATGTTTGAAAACTACAATAATGCCGATTATCTTTATTCCGAGGCACTATGTTATCAACTTTGTGGACAAGTCTATACGTAAGTGTATTCAACTGATGATAGGGCGCACTAATTCTCATAATCTTTAAACAAATGCATTTCATTAAAAATTAGATATGAACAATGCGGCTGTGTCAGTCCTCTTCTATGGAATAGTCGCACGCTCTATATTCCAAGCATTAATCGAGTAGTTTTTGCAGATCTCTGCGACTATGATAATTCGTGTTACACCAAAGCCATTGGTGAAGTTTTAACTTCATCTTCTCTTATGAATGACTATTGTTCAGAATGTTCACAAGAATGTTTAATAAGAAATTTTAATGTACAAACTTCTTCACTATCAGCACCAGCGGATTGGGAAATGGAATATATAAAAACGTTTGTTGAAAATTCTTCGATTCCGCTACCGGTCAATTGGAATAGTACATGGTATGAACAGATTCATAAAAACTATCTTGTTATCAATGTCGTGCGTGAAACGAGTATTGTCGAAAATAATACTCAATCAGCTGCAATCGGTACAGTTGATGTTCTTTCAAATATTGGCGGTCAAACTGGCCTATGGATTGGCATTAGTTTTCTTTCAATCATGGAACTCATTGAAGTACTCTATCAGCTGATTCGACACGAATATTATGTAATTCGAACAAAGATTGGAATTGCTTCACAATAAACTTTATCTAATTTCGGTCGCATTCATAACATAATCAATTACATATCTGACGAATCTTCATGTCTGACATACAGCCTAAATCTACTTAGAAATTACTGATCTAGTTAGGAGTTGAATGTATCAATAATTCTGAATCAATTATACATGACGACTTCTGAAAATGATATTGTATCAAATAGATAAGTGAAGTATTAACATGAGTACAAACAGACTTATACGTATAGTCTCTAATGGGGTTTCAATGAATAATTCATGGACGCATTCATTCTGAAGGTCAAAGAATAGTTTTTATTACAAGAAAATCCTTGTAGACATCCAGAAATGGATTTTGTCAGGAAAACAGAAGTTAAAATCTTTAATATAGCAGAAAACAGTTCATCTTCTAATGATATTGAATAGCAGCGAAATGAAAAAAAATTGAGAGATTCAACAAGAAAAGAAGAAGAAAAACTAAGCAGAGATATTGAAACTCATTTATATTGATTTGATGATTTGAAACAAAATCATAAATTTCTTTACTTGTCGATAGTATCATTGAAATCTAATCATCTGTTAAATGCAGACGTGAAATGCTTATTGGATTTTATTTTTTATACGTTACTTTGGCTCCAATAATCAAGATGATGTGTTCGTACGAATCTGATACATGTGTGACAAGAAGGAAAAAACAACGACTCAAGTACTTCAAAGTACTGGAGTCATGCTTTTTCCCCTTCATCTGTATTCATTCCTGATTCGGAAATGAAGTGAGTTTAGTCACAAAGAGTTGATCTATGTTTTTCTTCCATCCATAACTAGTATATAATCTATTGGCATCATTAGCGAATCCAATACTGAATATTATGAATATAAAGTTCGCCTCTTGTGATCAGTCTTAGCGATGGCAAGTGAAGTTGTAATCAGTCAACAAGTTAATTGCTTTTCGACGAATATCAATTTTTTCATAGTCATCGTTTTGACATAAAATGTTCAACGCTCGAAGTTTCATCAAAATGTTGATAAGATAGGGTAGACTTTTTCGATGTTTTACAGTGATTACAAGTATTCTACATTGTGTATCAAGTGGTGAATAACTCAATTCAACATCTTGTTTATTGTTGTAACAAGGAAGATATTCTCACCATAGGCTAGCTTTCTGTAAATCAAGTTGACAGTGTTTCTAGATACGATTCGTTGATATCATGACGAGATAGAAATACATTGAGTGATCTCAATTGATCAAGTTTATGCATGATAGAACTCGAATTCTGATCTACCAGTGGTATCAGGAAAAGTTCGCGAATACCAGTCACGATTGCAGTTGTTTCGTGTAAAGATGAAGTAATTAGATGATAGGGTCTTATCAACAATCGAAAAGAATCTTGTTTTGCCCCAATGAAAGTCAAACTGTTTCTTGCTCTTTGCACAAGTACTATTGATCGATTGCCATGGAAATTTAAAGTGATCAACGGATGATAGTGTGAAAGTAGTTGGATGTGTCTGTGACTTGCGTGAGCGAAAAGACAATCTATTTTTTAGACTTGCGGTTTGGTGCGTCTCCTTAATTTGATTGGTGAATTATGCTCCTATCAGAAGCCGTGCAAATCAAGTATAAGATTCACTGATATTCTGAAAAAAAATCATTCCTAAAGATATTTCTCGACTACTACACTAAGACATCGATTTCTTCTTTGCACTAATATTTTTCTTTGAACGAATGATGGATTTTATCATTGGTGCACGTGAACTACCACTAAAATAATATTTACTTACATTCTACGTTATCTAATACTATCAATTATTGCTACACTGTTGTGCAATTCCTTTCAGTCATATAAAAGAGAAAGAAATCTGATCAATTCTTTACCTCCTGTGATAAACCATTGATAAAGTAAGCAACACACGAAGGTGGGCATCAATTTTATATTTGTATTCGTGTATGAACATCTGCCAACTTTATTCCTTGTTGTCGGAGACAGCATTTTGTGAAAGGAACTATCGGAATTCTTTACCGATTGAGAAGAGATTTTTTATGATTATGCCGTTATCTGATCTCAGTATTCTGAAACCATAAATTAGGAAAATATCCGTTTTTCTCTCAGGTTGTCTGAGAAAGTGATTTTAGACATGGGAACAAACTTCAAAGAGAAGAAAATCATTTAGTTTGCCAGTTCATTTTACCGGCGTCATGTCTAGAAGTAAAAAAAACAGAACCAGTTCAACACTTATGTTGATGAGAATAATATCGCAAGAATAGAATCGATTCGTTTCTATTAACAAATATACGTCTCCAAAAAGGTGTTCATTTTGCTGGTTTTCTATGTATTGTAGTCCAAAAAGATGATACATCGCCGACATTTTTCTCCATACAAAGTTCGGTTCAATGTTTGGTCATAATTTCAGCATCAAATTTCTATAGCTTTCTTCAAATTTTTCATGATTTACCAGAAGTAAACATGTATATCGTGTTTGTATTTTATTAGACCAGAAAAATGTGATTACACAAAAAAAGAAACCACAAGTTTAAATTAATGACAGAGTCAGAGTTTAGTCTGTGAAAGTGAGACGAGGACTCACTTTCTCCCTAAGTCTCGGTAGTTTCATCATTAGCGTTTATGTAATCAGTGTTAATTTCATGAGAAAATAAAAACTATCGAAACAAATACAATAGTATTCATCGATCTCAATAAAGCATTTCTGCAATAAAAGATTGTACTTTTCGTTATTGTTATCCCATTTTTCTCGTTGAACACAAAAACACGATATACTTTTCCACTTCTGGTAATTTATGAAGATTTGAAAAAGCTATAGAGGTATGATTTTTTAATTGTAAGTTGTAATCAAGTTGAACCTCTTAAAGAAAAGTCTAGCGTTTTATCGTGATTCTATACTTCAATATATGAAAATAAAAGATGAACAACTGTTGTTAGACATTCGACCTAAAATACGATTTATTGCGTTGATTATACCTGAAGAAGCAGTTATCATGTTCTTTATGAGCCGAATTGTAGCACACGATTCTTTTATTTATCATCCAGCACGATACACCGATTAACAGACAGGGGGTTTTATTGGATATGTCATTTCGAAAAAAAAACGGATAATAAAAATATGAACATGGACCGATGTAGAATGATCCCAACAGCTTGATCTGAAAATTTGAAAAGTTTTTTTTATGTAATTTGACAGAATTATACTAACAATCTGTTCGACTTGTTCAAGAGTCGCTTCAGAGAATGTAACTTAACAATCTATCTAGGACTGTTTGAATAATATTCAGATTATATAGATAGATACAAAATTTTGTGCACTATTCGATAATGAGAGAATCAGCATTATACACGAATCATACTCATAAGATTAATAGATACTGAACCCATTGTGATAACCTAAACTATAAAGAAAAATTGTTTTGTCATATATTTGAAAGATTATTTGGTAATCAATAAAATGTTTTAAATATAGATTCGGCACAATATTTTTCTTTGCTATGAGGATGCCATTTTATTCTGAAAAAGTGATCCGTCATCTATATTTATCTCAGCGTAGCTAATAGTAGTTAGTAACTTACGAGGCTATCATTTAATAATTACGATGATTTTTATTCTTATTGAAAGACAAAATTTAAAAACATATCAACAGTGCCTGCTCAATCTTCCAGTTTCGATTTTTATTATAAACATAAAGCAGGGCTCGAAACGAGCCACTTTTTTATGACCCGGTCCGGCCCGACCCAGCTGAGGCCGATGAAAATTTTTTTTAACAAACATTTATACGGAATTGATCTTAAAGATCAACGCCGTACTTCGAAAAAAATCTCTATAGAACACACCACAGATTAATTGATGAATTTAATGAGATCAGCTCATTGAAATGATAACAAAGATAAATTAACAAGTATAATGATCATACGAAAATAAATAAACAGATTGTGCATATTAAAAAGCTATTGGTTTATTGTGCTGTCTAATAAAAGTTCGATAGAAGTGGCTATGACAAAGCTTTATGATCATTACTCGATCTCAATCTGATGACATTTACAAAATTTCATAAAAGAAAAAAATAGAATTTTGTCTGGCCGGGCGGCCCGTTTTGAGCCCTGGTTTAAAGTAATGTTTTATTAAAAAACCATCGAATATACAGGAGTGGTGTAGAGTCCATGTATGAGAGAGATAATTACAGATACACCAGTTCCAGGAATTAGACTTTATGAGATTGAAATTGTATCGAAACAGAAAACTCAATATTGCATTTTTGAGAATAGTCTTTATTCAAATTTTGAATTTCAAAAACACTTTGTAATTTCAAAGCTTTTGCACCTCACCACTCCTGGTGGTGTGAGCAAGTACAATCGAAAATTTTTAGCTATAAAACTAAATTTTTCACGTTTTAGAGAGTTTCTTCTTATGAGGATCAGGGAAAACGTAGCTTTAGAAACAGGACTGGCGTCACTAAATAGATCCTGTTAAGACTAAGAAAATTGTAAAAATTTGCATCCCATTAGACTTTTTTGCAGCTTATGGCTATTTTACTAGATTTTCCACTTATTGTTTCTAGCATATCTCGAGAAGACTTTAATAATTTGAGTATGAGCTTACTACCCTGAGCCTAAAGTCGAAATGAACCGAACCCAAATTCCAAAATATCGATTCGATTCAGACTGATAAATATTTTGGTGAAGTTTTCTGTTTTAGAATCCAATATAGTATCACATGAACTTCGATTCTAGATGGTCAGATGTTTCTTTACTTCTCACACACTACCGTTACTTTCGCGTTGCGCTGCGTGTGATTAAATCGCGTATGAGTCAATTTGAATTTGTAGGAATTGAAGAAGAACCAATGGTCAAATCGAAAAATAAAATTTACTATGTTTTCCCTGTATATAGAAACAATCAATTTTTGATGAAGGCCCTCTTGAAAGTTATTAGACTCTGACTGAAAACCACTGGAGTTGCTTATTTTTGGTAATCGATTAATAAATAATTGAAATACTCTTCCCTTTCAACTTTTATTTCATTCTTAATTTTTCGACAACTATGTTATCTTCGTCAGATATTGAACAATACAGCAATGGCTGTACAGTTACTCATATTGATTCTTTTTTCTCGTCCTTTTGTTTGTTTCCTTCTATTGACTGTGTGATGAAGAAAATGGCATCTATTCAAATTCTGCTAGTATCCTTGATTTGCCGTCTCACTATCAATATAGGGCAGCTAAGCATAGAAACAATGAAAGAAAAGAAAATTGAGAAAGAATCAACATGTGTAATGATACAGATTTTTTTCATGCTGTTCAGTCTCCAATGAAGACAACGTTGCTACCGAAATGTTATGAATAAAATAAAGACCGAAAACGAAGAATATCTCACAATTAACATTACTATCTTGTATCTCGGTTTTGTTTTGGGCTTCGTATGTACAGCTTTACCATTAATAGTTTTTGTTGTTGTACAGATTTTTAGAAAGATCAGATATTTATTTTTTAAAATTTTGCAGGAAATGTCTGCGCGCAAGAAAAAAACAACTTCAGCCGAAACTGAAGAAATATTAGTAATTGATCCAAAAAAACAAAATACTGATTTAGAACCATTTCCTCATCCATTTTATACTGGTGGATATAGTCAAGGATGTGAACCAAAAACACTAACTGAATTGACAATGATGCATTTAAGTGGCATTATTCGAACGAAATCAAAATGGTATGAAAAAATGAAAGATGAAACAATACGAAACAAATGGAAATCAGAAGCTTCAGAACAAGCATCACTTACAGATAAACAAATCGATTATGTTCTAGCTGAATTAGAGTATTATGATTCGATACGAGATGGATCTATGGAAATGTCCTCTATTGATGGTGTGTGGCAAAGTGATGAATTAATACCAATTGATATGAAGGAATCATTGATTGAATGTGTAAAGAGTTTGGAGAATGTTCCAGAAAGTGAACAAGATTGGCATCCTGGTACAAATAACCAAATATTAGATTTAGTTCATCCATCATTATTTTGTTTTGTTAATCAAATGACGAGCGTTATTAATGATAAGAATCATATTATCAATGTAGATAATTGTCTAGAACATATTGGCGATGGTCAAACTATTGATATTAATGCAAATTTATTATCTTCAAAAAATAAACGACAAAAATTAAAACATGATTATACTCGATCGAATACATATCAATGGTTACCAGCTGAATTTAATGTTTCAAAGGATGGTCAAGTTACAATCGAATCATATATCAATAATTTACATCCAATTGAAAACAAAAAACTATATCGATTAATTGAACAAATATGTGAACGTTTTATACCTCTATTTAACAAAGTTTTAACCGATTTAGTTCATAATCAATATAAACCAAATCGAATCATTGTTGATCCATATCAATGGTATGATTCTTCAGACACATCTGATAATGATGATGATGATGATGATGATGATGATGATAATAGACCAATTAAACTACCTGATGTCGGGGAATTTCAAATGCCATCATCAAAAACTTCAAGTATTGATTTACGTGGACGAAAACTGCAAATAATTGTTAAATTAGCTAATATAATATTGACACCAGAGAATCCCAAATATCCTGGTGGTGTTTGGCATGTTGAAGGGATGGAAAATGAACATATTGTTGCTACAGGTATTTTTTATTATTTTAATTCTAATATTACACAATCAAATTTACAATTTCGAACGGTGATAAGAGAACCAAACTATGAACAAAATGATAATCGTGGTGTAAGAATTGTTTATGGTTTAGATGACGAAGCACCGTTAAATCAGGAATTGGGCGAAGTGATTACTCAAGAAAATCGTTGTCTTGCTTTTCCAAATATTTATCAACATCGTGTTGCACCATTTCAATTGAAAGATCCAACTCAACCAGGTCAACGTAAAATATTAGTGCTTTTTTTAGTTGATCCAACTGTTCGTATATTATCTACTGTCAATGTTCCACCGCAACAATCGCATTGGCTTGCCAATATTGTACGTTCTATGCCTCCATTTAATAGTTTACCATTAGTAGTCGTCGAAAAAATAATGAAATATATTGATTTTCCTATGAATATGAAACAGGCGAAACAACATCGTGAGAAATTAATGGAAGAAAGAAAATATTTTATTTCACAAAATAATGAATTACTGTTTGAAAGACCATTTTCATTATGTGAACATTGAAATTCATTTTATAAATAATCTGACCCCTCTAAACTTTGTCGTGTCATATAACAATTTATCTTTTTTTTAATAAAATGTACTATCTAGCTTCTTGAATATAACTACTATTCTAATTTTTGATTTTTCTAAAAAGGTTCTCTACACGATGATGCGCGTAAGGATGTTTGGAAGAAAAACAGAATATAAACATCTATGTAGATGACGGTTTAAGAAAATTTTGATTCGGGAGGAGTTCTAGAGAAACCTTTCGACTGCTGGTTTCTGTGTAGTATAGTGGTGGTCAAAATAAAGAAAGTTGGCAAAAGATTTTGTATTGTACTTGTCAATAATTTATATTTAGATGATCGTATACGAATAAATCAGGCTGCATATAACAATGTACAAGAGCATTCACACAATGCTATTTCGATTGAAGAATTCTACGTATCAAGTATAACAGTCAAATCCATTTCAACAATACTCATGAAAAGTGGTGTGCAAAGAAAATTTTTGTAGAAATAAGACAGAATTTTGCATGAATACTTTTTTCATTGTCTACAATCAAAGTCGAAAAAGAATAGTAATAAGTTGAATCAGACAATAGTTCCTTCATACGGTACTTGGTGACAGATTATTAGCCTGAACAATACAAGAGTGTCATTTTTGAAGTTTCCATAAATCAATTTATTTTTTGTTGTATTGATTTATTATTAAAAGAAGAAAAGAATATTTGCTTTTAAGCTGAAAGCATGAAAAAAGTTTACTTGAAAAAGGAACTTGAAATTTAATTTTTGCTTTATTCGAATGTTTTGTATAAGTTTATCCTTTGGATCGCTTGAGAACATTTTTGACTTCTCTTTACCATAAACCAACTTCACTGCGCAATTGAATAATGTTAACAAACATTGACGCACTGCCTTGACATGAACGAGTTAATCGTACATGTGATTACATTTCTCGATCATATGTTCTAAAGATGGTTTATGCTCCTATCAAATCTATATATTTTCTCTCTGTCATTTGTCAGTATCACACGAAAACCAATATGTATATATATATATACTTGGAGAACTTTATTGAAACCATGACTCAAGTTCGGCTATGCCCTGTCGAGTTCATGATAGACGTCAAATGAACAAGACTTGAACCATTGTCATTATATGTTTTTGAACAAAATTATTCGCGGCTTTGATAAAGAGAACCTGTGCCACTCTTTCATACAAACCCCTTTTATGCCTTAGTCCTTTCTTACAATGTGGAATATCATCTGCGAACAGACATGCTACTGTACAGTATTCGATATGCTTTTAATCTCACTCGCAGCTTTCTTCAGCTTTTGGAGTATTACTCTGTTGTTCACAGACCAGTAAGAATTCGGACATGCACAGTAAATGGCACATGTTTGGTTTCCCGAAAAAAGAAATATAATTCGTAGATCGTTCTATAAGGCATAGTAAGTGGTGATCTCTATGCCTAGATTGGTAAAAAATTGAAGAAAGAGCAATTACCCAGATTGTGTGTGGCTGACTGCTATCGTCTTCTTACATTTCCGATTTGTGTTATTGAGTTGAGAATAGCAGGAGAAAGGTCGATGTTCGANGTAAAAATTAGCCAAATACTAGAAGTGTGCTAAACTTTTTTCCTACTTTTTACTATAGTGTTTAGTATTTTGACTATAACATTGTCATTACTCAATGAGAAAATGAAAAAGTTTTTTACCAAAATGATCAGCGAAAAAAGCTGTACAAAATTAGATATAAGAGAAAAATTTTAGAACATCCTTATTATTCATTTATGTGTAAAAATAAAAAAGTACATGCTTTTTTGGGCCCTCACTGTAGAGATCATTGAAAATTGAAGATGTTCACTATGATTACATGAGTAACCACATAAAACATCGACCATACATGCAAATCGCTGTTATACAGTCAGAAATTATAAAACTTTGCGGCATACAGACTATTTTCACTTGTATTGTCTGTGTACGTCATTCGTCCGAGGAGTCTAATTCCTATGATTCTGTGTCTCAATGAGAGCAAACATCCGCTGTTGCATCGTGCACCGTAGAACGACTATATTTGAAAAGTCGTTATGTTTAAATGGTGAAGTATCCTTTGAACCTTGAAGAGATTAGTTACCATCATAGTAGATTGCATTGAATGCGGGAAAACTTTCATATGGATGGTGTTTACCTGAAAAATAGTACTGATTATGTTTTGATAACTATCATTGCTGGATGAATGTGATTAAACTGATTGTTTCAGTTATACTGCCATAGCAGAAAATTCTTCTATAAAGTTTATACACCTAGACGTACTGGAAGACGTAGGTCTTCCATTATGAACATCAGAGAGAACTTATACTCGTGGGGAAAGCTGCAGACTGCAATAAATATCGTGAGAGCTTTCTAAAGTTACTTAGTACCAACTTTTTATCACTATCAGTTGCTTATGAGAAAAATAACAGCAGAAAATACTCGGTAAAAATTGTGCTTATTTTCGTCTCAATGAATCATTCGAGTTTTTTTTGATAGATTATACTAAAGAATAGAAAATTAAAAATTCAGCAAAATAAGCGATTTCAATTTAATAAACGAGTTGATCAACTGAAGTTTTATAAGACCAGCATGTATGAAAAATTACTCTTTCATTGAGCCCAAAAAGGTGCATTCGATAACAATCTATCGCTTGTCGGAATTAGAAATTAGAGAACTCCAAACTGCGAACATATCCTTTATCATTTTACCATTTTGTAGATAATAAAAAGTTGCATAATGCATATAAAATTCAGTTTGGTGCTCTTTAATTCTGAATCTCAACATGCGATAGATTGTTATCGAACGAATCATTTTTCATTCATGTTGATCTTATAAAACTTGAGTCGACCAATACTGTGTTGTATTGAAATAGCTTATTTCGTTCAGTACAAAAGAAAATTTTTTTTTTATTTCCCCAGATTGACAATCAATCAATTCACATATGATAAACGAGTAAAGATCTATTCCAGGAGTAAATCCGAGAAAAAAAAGAATAATTCAACTCTGACGATCGATGGAAACTACATTCAAATACATGATTGAATTTTAAACTTTAGAAAATCTTCTTCATACATTTTTTTTCATTCATCGTGAAAAGAACAACAACAACAACACAAAAAAAATAACAATAATAAAAAAAACTCAATTTATATGACTATTTACTATAAACTTGATTGACATAGTTGTTATTCAAAAACATTATCAAAACATGAATGTCTTAATTTATATTAATTACATAAAAATTACCAAAAGGATATAAATCTATAGTCATTGACAAATTACATAAAAATATTCGATGGAAGTATATTATATATTGTTATAACAATAACAGCTAACCATGCCCATAAAAGTACACCAAAAACCCAATATTTATTTTGAAAAAATGATTGATTATCAAAATGTACTGGTCGACGAAGTTTAACTTGTGCTTGACGTCGTGCATTATAAACTAATAATGCTGGTATAACATATTGTACAGCTACACCGGCATATGAACCAGTAAAACCAACAAGAAAATTAATATTTTCTATTAATATACTAACTGTACAAGGTAATAAAAGAACAAATATAACAAGTAGAAAACGTTGTTTTCGTTTAACATTTAAACATGATTTTAAAACAGTTTCAAGATTATTTCTTAATGTTATACCAATTATTGGAAAACTTGAACTTAATGTAAATACAGGAAATAATGATATAAAATAAGCTAATACTTTAGGTACATTAACATTTGAATGAGTACATCGTGTTGTTGGACGAAAATTCAATGTATAAAGATCTTCAAATGATTCAAATGTAAATATAGCTGTTAAAGATAATAATAAATAAAATAATGATATACATATATAATCATATGCAAATAAAGATTTAAGTTTATTTTTCGAACGTATTGGTGCTATTATACTTGGAATTGAATGATGACACATCTTAAATAATTGAGATAAAGAAAACAACCACAAAACAAACAATGCAAAAGATACGTACAAAACTGTACACACAAATACCAAAAAGTCGTGGAAGACTACGAAAATGAAATATAGGTGGATGAATTGGATTTGAAGATTCACTACTTGATCGTTTGGCAAGATGAACAATACATAGAATAATCATGGAGAGAAAAGCTAAAAATAATAATTAACAAAAGCTTGTTCGTGTAGTCTCTTTGATAAATTTTTCTTTTGGTTCGCCTTGTCGCTGTGCATTTTTTATTTCGTTTTTCTGAATTTAGCATTAATCCTATTCTAACTATTCATTTCACTTGCAAATAAGTCTGCTATACATATTTATTATATCTATAGCAGGCCTCAACACACTATCATATATATCTCGATAAGCTCAGAAACACTCATATTACATTGACAAATGTATTCTAGCTATTCAGATTTCGAGGAAAACTTTAGAATGTTCTAGCACAGTCGAAATTTTGTTGTTAATGCCGTTTCGTGCCTTTTTCCATTGCTACGAAACTCGAGGAAACGAGCCTGACGCCTGTTATCTTCGACTACTACGCCAACGAATTCAATGATTGTTGGCATTTCCTTCTCTTCTCCATTGCTATGAGGTATAGCCGCAAAATCTCGACTTAAAATTTACACTCACTATGTTTTTCTTCGAAAAAAAAAATTATATAAGTTCTACAACAGATAGTTTGATATAGATCATAACGAGAACGAATTTCTTGTACTTGCGTTTACGGCTGCTTTATCTCGCGTCTAACAAATTTATATTCCCAGGGAAACAAAAAAACTTTTTTTTTATAGATGATACTCAGAAAAATATGTGAATAATTGTTGAGTTGAAGGAATCTTTTTTTTTTTGATGATTTGATACGAAACAAGAAAATCAAATTATTAATTACCAGTCCAACGACATAGAGTTGTAACCATCTGAAGCAGTTTTGTCTTTTGCGCATTGCCAAAAACGAATAAACCCAATGTACAAAAAAATATCGACTAAATATTTACTATAAGAAATATATCTTCATTGTTTTATCTTCATTATCTTACCACAAATATTTGATAAACATGATGCCGTGTTAATGAAGAACTTGCCCAACATAAATCATTCATCGTGATATTTGTACAATTGGTTGGTTCATATGTGCTGAAATATAAAAAAGGTAATTTTATCTGACAAAAAAAACTATTGGTTTAGGTCAACAAACCAAATAACATCACGAATTGATTTCGGTACAGCTGAACCATAAATTGCCAAATCTCCGAAGAGATATAATGATATACAAAAATAAAATATCACTAAACCCACTATAATAAAATCAAGCAGTTAAAATATACCAATAGATGAAATAAACTCACACTTATTTAAAAACATATCTGCCATTTCACCCTAAAATATTTAAAATAATCTATCGTCAAAAGTATTTTGCAATTGTTCAAAAATAGAAAGATTTCTCTATCAGAAACTAATTTATCAAAACACTTCTTGATTATAATGAGAAAATTACTATATTCAAATACACATACACGGAACAATACTTCTCTATTGGATGAGCAAAAATATCTGTAATTGAGTTTGTTTTGCATATGTCTCTGTACAAACAAAGGGCACTTGTAAACACTGCGGACATACTACGTTGCCTGTTTTGTGGATACGGACACCCATGTTTACTTTGAATTTTACTTATACGAGATGTTTTTACAGATAAGTATCAAGGTAACTATCGTTATCTTTTACAATTAAGATCAAGATAATCATCGGTGTCCGTATGTCCGCAGTTTCTTTTTTACGTGTACTCAAAAATAACCCTTGACTGCCTTGATATTTAATCATAAATCATCTCGTAAAAGTAAAAACCAAAGTAGCCATGACTGTATATTAGAGAGCTACGGATCCACGCTTTTGTGGATCCGGATCCAGACCCGAGTTGTTTTTCGCTAATATCTGGCACTCTCTATGTACATGAACGAAAAAAGGATGAAAGTTTTAGCTATTTATTCGCTACTCTCAAACCAAAAGCTAGCATACAATTGTTTCTTGTTGTTCACTTTCTTATCAGTTGAAGGTTAATAAATTAAAAGCTTTCGCTTATTTGAAAAGAGCATTATATTAACAAAAATTGCCAAACCAACAGTAACACCGAAGTCTTCGACTGTATAGTTTGGAAGGACCTGCAGCTCTCTAGTGTTCGTATAATATTCGTTTCGAACTCTATCTTTTTCTGCAACTTTGGTAGTATCTGCAATTTTTGCTGATGTCCATAAACAAATAATTAAGTCTTGACTTATTTTTGCAATAGATATTCCATTGAATAAGCAACAAAAGCTGTAGGAAAAATTCTTTTGATTTGTGCTGATGAGTCTTAAGAAAATCTAATAGGGACAGATTTATGAAAAAATACTACATCCTATTAAATTGAAAGTAACAAAAAAAATGTTTATTATAGTATCTTTTGTACAAAAACACCGGAAAAACTTTAGTTTTTTTTTCTCTTAAAACAATACATAGTTAATTTCTGTACAATAATCATCGTAAAAGGCCTCGTTTACTTGAGACAATCGATTTTAGACAGCAATTTTTGAATACAGTTAGCTTCTTCGTCAAATGACTAATCTTTTTTTTTGCTTAAATTTTATTTTTACTGACAATTTTTAAACAGTAAGAGCCTCACTTTGTCTGTATCAATGAGCATTAACTTGATTTCAATAATAAACTTGTCTTTTTAAAAACTAATTCATTTGTCTGTACAGAGATATACGCAAAATAAACTGTGTTAATAACATTTATAGCATATTCGGTATTACTTCAATTTATCGATATTAATCATTCGAAATTCCATTTAAATAGTATCTTTCATAGGAAGAAACTTTGAATCATTTGATAATTTTCGAGAGTTTATCATAAAGTACACAGGTTTGACCTTTTAGATTTCACATAAAACGATCTTCCATTTTTTTCTCTTTCTAATGTAAAAAACCACATATATTCCTATCTCTTTCTGTCCGTAATCTATCACGAAAACAAGTGGCTATTTTAAATTTTCAAATATTCCAAAGTACATTGCTCTTTTGCCTTTTTTTTTATTCTGATTAAATATATATTAAACTTTCTCTTAATTATAAAAAGATAATGAACCTTACACCTTCTCTCACTGACCATTTCAATTTTTTCGACAATGTCAAAATCATGTCGTTCTTCAGTTCCTGTTGAAATATATACATCTATATCAAATATAAACAATAATCAATCATAATATTAATTTAAAATATTTACCATCGTCATTAATTGTTCTAGGTAACAATGATGCTCGATCTGATTCAACCATATTTTCTTCTTCATCACTTGTTGTTGGTACGATTGTATCAAGACGCTAAATAAAAATTCATATGATGACATCGAAATCAAATAATTAATCTAAACATACTCGATTTACTATTTTTCTTCGCATAAAATTTGCAATAGCCATTGCTTCAATCATATATGTTGCTGATATATAACTAGAAAACAAAATTTCAAATTATAAAAATTCTAATAAAAATTTTTACCTAAAAAATCCAAGTATTAATAATAACAAAGTACTCAATACATAACCACCTTCATGAAAAGCTTTTGGAAGAGCTAATGCACCAGTACCAACAATAATATTAAAAATATAAATCATACCAGTCTAAAAGATCAATTTGTATCATTGTTAAAACAAGAGAAAAAAAGCTCCTCAACCTACCCTCTGTGAAAATGTTGTCTCAGCAGATTTCGTTTGAGTTGAACCTCTTGATGGAAGCATTTTTTTTCTATTCTCTAGAATTAAATAAAAAGAAATCTTCTATTTAAGAAAGACAGAAAAAAGACCTTTGTATTAGCACCGAATATAACACACACCAAAAAAGAAAAAGATATATACAAAAAAAATCAATGTAGAAAAATGTTTATCATTATCGTCGAATGAAGACCACAGTTAGAAGACCTAAATAAAAGAAAATATGCTTATGGAAACAAATCAACGTAAAATCATTTACCAAGAATATAACTAGCTACAATTTTTGAACTAGTTGTCATATGTAAATAAGATGTTAGATATGTTTTTAAATTACTTTCATTATTAGATATTGTTGGTAAAATAAGTATCAAAGCACATATAGCACTGAGTATAATTAAAATCAAAACAACTAATGGATCTCCTAAAAGACAAATAAAATTATCATTAAAAATAATTTAGTTTTAGTCATTTACGTATTTCTTGTTGTGAAATTTTTGTTGTTGTCGTTCTTATTCGACTTGATGAATTATTAATTTCATCATCAAAATTTTGTTCTAATGGTTTAAACGATAATATCGTACATATAATATCTCGTTTGCCAATTAGATCTTGTGGTTTTCGACGATCAAAATATTGTATACGGATTTTATGTGCAACATTTGAACTTGATGATGTATCAAGCAGACGTACAACTCTAATATTTAAAAATTAAAAATACATAATTTTATCTAATCTTTTTTTCTTTTACATATCAACTGAATGTTGTGGATGAATTTCTCCTTGTGATTCTGCAATAGAATATGTTCGTGGAGCTGTGCATAACACTAACAACAACAACAACAAAATAAGATAACGTTTTTACTATGTGATAACAGAAAAAAAAAACATCATAATAACCTTTGTAACGAACAGAAAATTCATATGGGTTATACAGTGTTAGCACTTGAGAAAAAGTGATGGAATCATCTAAAAATAAAAAAAGAAAGTAAATTTATAAACGATAATCATTATCTTACCAAGATAAAAAACAAGAGAATTTGATGAACAGAAAAAAGGCAATTGAGCAACATTTTTAGTCAAATGTGTTAATACGGACATTAACACATCTGTAGTATATAATAATCAAAAATAACGACGACAATAGCACATGGTCCTAATATTGAAATACATAGAGTGTATGCCAGCTTATGACTCATTAAAAGCAGCTGACTATCATAGAATGAAAAAAAAGAAAGATAATATTATAGTATGCAGGCAGAGAAAGAACAGCATTACCAGTTAAGCGAATCAATATCAAATACATTACGGGTGGCGACCTCTTAAAAAATTAATTAGGCCGAACTTTTGAGAAATACCAGTCGGTAGAGAAAAATTTTCTCTATCGATCTACGTTTTTAGTTTTTCCCAGAAAAGTGTCCCTTCCGAGATATAATCGGAACAATCTGACCAATCAAAACACAGATCGGCTGTAATGGCTTCAGCATGAATAATAAGAATACAAGATGACAGCTTTGTATAAGAATAAATCATTCTACAATTTCTATCTTGTTAAATTCAAACGGTTTTGAGTGGCAATTTAATTTACACATTTCGGGTTACTTTTGGATTGTAACAATCCTTTTAATCAATAAATTTATTTGAAGTAATCTTTCTTTTAATTAACAAAAAAAAACAAAAAAATAAATAAATATCATTGCAGAAAAAAATACAAAAAAAATTATTTCTTGTCTTGACTGTGCTTCACTTTTGATCCATAAGTTTTTCTAAAATGTGTTGCTGATCGTACTCTGTATTTAGATGGTGGAAAACAGTGTTTCTAATAAAAATCTAAAATAAAAAGTCAAATGAGATTTTTTTTTGCCATCAAAGTGTAAAATGACACTATTCTTTTGAACAAGTGTCACAAAGTTTCCAAGATCTTGATTGTTAGAATTAGATCAAAAAACAAATATTTTATATCAATTTATCAGAGCTTTCCTACTGGGGCAAAGTCTCACATCCCAATTTTGCGAAATTCGCGTTTTTGACAAGCAAATTTTCGGAGTTTTATTCAGTTTTTTTTCTCATTACTTCTAAAAACATCACTGGAATCTACGAGATTCGATCGAACCTTGAAATATCTTCCAATCGGTTTCCCGAGTCATCAATCTCGCACCCCTTTCTCTTATACCTTGTAGACATTAAGACTACGGTCGCACTTTAACTTTAAAACTACTTTGATACAGTACGTTCAGTTAAAGATAATTTCTTTAAGCTTCAGAATTGAATTAGATTTTTCCGGAAGATTTTTTTGCAAAAAAAGGTATTTCTTTCATTAAAAAAATTATTTTTTGAAAAGATCATTTTTTCACAAAACAAACATCACCTTTTTCACGTATATTTCATTTTTTATGAAAAAATGCTTGTGAAGGAATTTAATTTAACTTTAACTTTTTAAAAGTTAAAGTTTAAAGTGCTCTTATTTTTATTTTACTTTAAATTTATAGTGAAAGTGCTACCCATAATTGAGACACTCTTGGCAATTATTTACATAAGGTCCAATAGAAGATGTACAACTTTTACTATTCAGTAACATCCGATGATCAATTATTTTATCTAATATTTCATAAACGAGGTAAAAGAGAGATAAAATAAAAATGGACATTACTTTACTTTAAACACGCAAGATATATTTTGTATACAGAGCACTGTTTGTGGGTTAAGGCACTACCTAAACTAAACTCGTACGAAGCATTCACTTAGGTTGCCTAAAGAGCTGTGTCAAATATGAAAGAGTAACAAGTTTTGAAAGACAGAGAAACGTTCCAATCAATCCAAAGGTTAACTGGTAGATGTCAGGATATCGAATACATAACTATTAATCACAAAATTTTGAAGTTAAGAGCTTGCATATGATGAAAAGTACAGTGTAAATTATTCTAAGCAAGTGTCTGCTTGACACTTTGTTTTCATGAGCAAAGTGTAAAATAGAGGGTCAATCAAACACGGCAAAGTTCTTGGACACTTTGTCATCATGATGAACTCTTGCTGTTAGAAACACTGATGGAACAGGTATTTTCTAAAATAGAAATCGAAAAGAGAAAATATGATACGGAATACAAAGACGACTCTTACAGAAGTCATTGCATGCGGACTGGTTAGTAGTTTTTCATAACCATCGCAAAATTTTTGTTGTCGTTCAAGTTTCTATTATTATATATTTTGAACGTCCGCCTCTTTCCCATCGACCACATAGAAGACAATGTACTATGTCTGATGCCATGATAACTTTGTTTTACTTCGTACTTCTGTGTATTGTGAGAACAATAGTGCCATTATGTACTGCTTTCAATGGTTGTGGTGTTCCATTGCATGCCATTGGCCAACTTAATTAGTGATTTTCTCTGAAAAAAAAATTGGGCCGAAAAATCTGATCCCATAGAAGGAACTCCCTTTCTCTAAGCTACAATTTGATGTAAAGATCACCTCTTGAAAAAGTGTCTCGGGATATTAAGAAATCAACACCACTAAGTGCATAAGTGTATTCTACATTTGATATTGAATCGATGATTCATCTCGATTTGTCGGTAGACTATTATACAATATTTCAATATTCTCTTTCTATAAATTTTTATTCTTATTTTTGTACTGTATAAGAAAAAACAACGGTGAATGCATTTATTTCATTTTAAACTCTCTCTGGAATAATATTATAGTTGTTATTACAAATCATTAATTGTAAACAGCGTCGTCTGTCGTGTGTTTCTATGAAAACGAAGCAAATGAATAAACTCCTGGAGTTTACTTAAAACACCTGTTATTAATAGTGTATTACGTTTTTCAAAAAATATTGATACCATTCAATCTCAAATATTTTAAAATAATGTTTGCTTAATCAAATCAAAAAATATTTGAATGTAAAATTGCATCTATATTATTCAACAATATATGTTTTACTAACTAGGTATCGAAAAGTAATTTGTCAACATGTTCGTTCATTTTTCAATCTCGTAAAGAAGCCTAGTGAAATGCAAAAACATTGATTGTAAATCAAAATTTTGTGTACTTTATAAATATAACTTCAACATTTTTGTCGAACTTCTTGTTTAAGTACAATGAACCGACTTTTTCAAGGCTCGTAAGTTGAGTTTGAATGTGCTTCTGCACGCTAAACGTTATTCAAAGTGGAACAGCCAAAACGCGTAACGTGTAACCACGATGACCAAAAATTCAAAATCATCATTTTTTAAATCCATTCTGGGCATCTTGTAACGTATGGTATAATGTGTAGGGAAACACATTTAACATCCGTATAGTTCAATCATGGAAATAAAAATAGTATCTCATATTTACACAATTATACATATAGCAAACGTAACATAGAAAAAAACTTGTTAATAGAAATCATTGTCATCGCGTTACAAAATTAACATCGCGTTACGTTAGTTAGACCGACCCCTCTTCAAAATAAGAAGCCTGTTTGAAGAATTCTTTTTTCCATTTGGTACCTCAAACTATCTTCCACAAAACGTCTATGGGAAGTTTATTTTAATGTAGCGCACATTCGTAGCAAAATAAGAAACAAATAGGTCACCCTCAACTTTTTGTCTCTTTTTCGTCATCGCGTTTCGTCGCCTATTTTTGCTTTAATTTTCGAACGGCTCATTCAAACGAGCTCAAATTCCCAGAGGTTGTGGGGAAGGCAAAGACACACTTAATAACGAAAAAGAGAACTTACTAGATAACCTAATTACTAAGAAAAGTTGATAATATTTGTGGCCAAAACGTCATCGTGTTACGCTTGAGAAAGCTGGGAAGAGAAAGTTATTTCAAATACAGCGAATAAAAGAGCAAACATTTTTCTATACAATGGTATAGTTTGCTGCAAGCCATTGGCCAACAGTGAATACTTTGGTAAAGTACATCGTGCCAATTTTCTCGATTTTTATGAAAAACAAACTTACAAAGTGAGTTCGATCATTCCTGTACGATTGTTCTGAAACTGTTGACTTTCTTATATCATTTTATAGAGAATAATCTCACTTTTAATTCTGTGCAAAAAAAATTGGTAGCATAACGTATGCTTGCTGCAAAACAAAAAGTCAATTTTCTCTATTCAAACTTAATCTTCGCACCGTCGACTAATAATTCATAAACGAAATTCTTAAAAAAAAATATTGAACCTATATTCGAACAAAAATACAACATTTTGTTTCAAACTCAATGTTTTTAAATTTCTGCAGAAGCTGAAAAATGAATGTGCATTTTGTCAAATTACTTTCCGATAATCCATTCAAACAGAGTACTTATAATTATCAATTACAATGAAATTTTTTTGAGTCATATGTTCAGGCTGTCGATTAAAATAAAAGAAATATTCAGAATACTTTTTTGTAAGACTTTTATTTGAATAATAATAGAAGGGTTAATATAGAAAAGATTAGTGGTATAATGTTATGTAAATAAATGAAATATTTGTTTTTAATCAAACCATCCAACAGGTAACATGAATATAGTTATATTACATATAAATTGTATCTGTCACTCTTAAAACATCCATGATTATTGTTAAATGTTAAAAATTTTTCTTAATTTTAAATGAGAACATAACCTGTTATTGTTCTTCTATAAGTTCGAGTTCCAATAGTAATCGTACCATTTATTGGAATATGTGATAAGTTTAAAATATCTTGTTCTAGTGTATGAATTGAACCACCAGTATTAGAAGCAATATTCATCAGATTCGTATTTAAAGCATTTCTACTCAACTGACAAACAATAACTTTGACTGGTTTGGTTACATTTTTCAATAAAATCATATCTCGTGGTGTCGCTTGATTATCAGCTATATGAATAATATTTAAACAATTTGGACATTTTTTAATGCCATATAATAATGCTTCAATATCATTTTCAGGTATATCACCACCATTACCATTTTTCATCGCTGTTTTCATAGTATTTAACACTGTATTCATATTGAAAGCATCAATACCATATAGACCTCCAGTAGAACCAATAGTTTTGTTTGCTTGAGGTTTATCATCACCATCATTAAAGAAGACATAATATTTGATTTTATTCACTCGTTCATATGCCAATATCATCCATTTATAAACAGCAGCTGCACAAGGTAACATTGAACCAGTAACATCAACGACAGCAACAATGTTGGTCCAATTGTTTCTATTTAGAACATTTTCTACGGTGCGTTCATAAGTTATATTTGAGCCATTAATAATTTCGTCAACTAAACTAACACTAGTTGATGATCCCACGTTTTGACAATTAGAACCATAGTATGATCCGGGGCATAAACAGAAAAAGCTATTTCCAGATGGTTGACATGTTCCCTATTGATTAGAGAAGATCAAATATAAAATAATATCTTGAATTTCTGATATAATATATCATCATTATCTTACATTGTTCAAGCATCGAGTTCCATTTGAACAAGCATTTATGGTGATCGTTGTTGTTCTTGGGCTCTCTGTTGTTGTTGTATGTATCTCTGTTGTTGTTGGTTTTTCTGTTGTCGTTGTATGTATCTCTACTGTTGTTGTTGGTTTTTCTGTTGTTGTTGCTGAAAATAAAAAGATGAATTATATTTTTCATAATGGTTTCTTTTGATATGAAGAAAAACATAAACATGTACAAGAAGTTTCAGTATCATTATTGTACAAGAAAAGATCATAGACAAATTGTAATAAGTTAAAAGTTAAAAGTTTACATATAATAAATATTATATTTACTTGAAAGACTAGTACTGATATGTCCTGAAGTTAATGGTGGACACATTTGCGGTGTAGCTAATTCGATTGGATAACAGACTGGTACATCACATCGTGTATTATTGACACAAATCGTATTAGGTACTGAACATGTTTTATTATCGGTTTCACATTGAGTTAAAGCCGAACAAGATATTACTACATTAGCACACATACCACCCCCAGTCACTGTCATTTGTAAACATTCACAATCTATATTTGATGAACATGAGAATGGTTTGACATCACATTTTGGTAATGGACAACATCCACAGCCAGATGATGATGATGATGATGAAGTGTAGGCATTTAGTCCTAAGAATAATTGTATCGAAAAAGATTATCTTTTATAGAATGTTCCATACTTACCTATGACATACCAGGACGAATATCTATAGATAACAAAAATATTTTTTTTATTAATTATTTGTAACAAGAAAGAAACTTACAAGAAGAGTATCGATACCGATACCAATTTTAATTGCATTGTAAAGATTTATAATCTGAATGATGATTGTTGCGATATTTGTTGTCTTATTTGTATAGAACTCTCTTCCCCTTCTTTTTAAATGACTCAGTGTTTGAAAAAAAATTATGAAAAAGTGTTCTTCTAAGGTTTTAACTTTACATAACAACGTAAGAGGTATAATCTTGATTCTAAATGTTTTTGTTCCATATTTCGATATGTTACTACATCTGCATCCATACAAATTGACTGAAAAGTTTTTCAAATACGAAAAAAAAATCAAACTGACGTATTTTAATTCTAGATTAAACACAATCGCAATGAAACTCATTATCAACAGAAAAAGAAAAAATCCTTATTCATCAGCATTCATGTCATTGATGTTAAAATCATTTTCTTTATTGCGAACAAATAATGACAAGTACTTGCGACAAAAATATAAAAAAGTATCAGAAACTCAGCTAGAGGTTAACTGAACAATTTTAAATATTAGATCAAACAACAAACTAGACGGCATTCGAGCTTCACTCGATTGCGAAATGCGGTGCGAAGCGACGATTGTCGACAATATAAAAACCGATATCCCATAGAAAGCGAATAATTGTCTTTATGATTTGTTATGAAATTCTTTTCTCTGAAAAGATGTGTATACTTTAGTCGAATTATGCTTACATTATAGTATCTACATCGTCTTGAAGAACACTGTTGACTGATCGTTTAATTATCTACCTGATTCATTGTTTATGAGCAGCTGTCCTTAAGCTGTAATGGATAACATTAGCTTATGGAATAGACTGCAGGCTAACTTTTTATCTTGTCTTCATTTTAATTATCTCGAAATTTTAAAAACAACAAAGCCTACAGTGTGGGTGTTACAATAGACAGAAAAGGGACATTAAAAGGAACCATTTGAATGATATCGGCTTTTAACTTAATATTTTGTGTTCATGTAGCAGGTATTTCATACGTAGATTCTATAATTGCAGCTTAAGTGTGACTTTGTCATTAAAAGTAAATTTGCATTGGATGTTCTCTGAAATCCATATTCTGCTGAAATTGCATCTTAGTGCCTCAGAATACCTACAGGCTGGTCTACATCGATATTTTATCGGTTTACTATTTTGAAAATGTTCTCTTTACTTTTTGTTGACAAAAATGAAAACTTTACGTTGTTTTCAATCAGTATAAAATAGTACGAATCTCAATCGATGAGTCTTTAGGTATAATTCAAGAGAGCTCTGGTAAAATTAAACATTTATCGGAGAAGATAATAGTCGACTATACTAAGTAACGGATTGTGAAAGGCCAGCCGGGGTGTAACGGCACTAGCCGTTACCTATGTTCTCTCTCTCTCTCTTCCTGCTATTGTCTTTCATTGATGATTCTCTTTTCTTTATTTTGTCTCCTTTGTCGCGCTTTTTCTCTCTCTTCTGATTATTCATTATTCATTATTCGCTCTCTTAGTTAGTAGCTTCACTAAATATATTTTATTAAATGATGGACGAGAAGAAAGATGATACTTGACGAGAGAAGAAAAGCAGAAAACAAAGAACAATGTAGATAGATCAATAAACGGTTGACTGAAAGGTAGCAGTCAAGACGAAACTGAA